TTCCACCATACCAGAATTCCTGCAACTCCTTACACACGACAGATATCTCCTTGGCGACATACGCAATCTCCAGGCACATCTTAAGCCTAGCAGAACCAACAGTGGAGATTGTAAGTCTTGCCTCATACTCGGCATGCCATTTGTTGACACAGACAGTGCTCTCTGCTCTCGCAGTAGCAATACATATGATTGATACCGCAACCAGAGGTGCCAAAGGAAACCCCCTCAAGTACGACCGCAGAATCATCATCGTGACTGATGGTCGTGGGGAAATGGTCACAGACGATTTGGAGCAACTAACATCAAAAATCAAAGACCCGGAGGCTCCTTTCGAGATCACCTTACTCGGCATCGACTTTGACGACCCCGACGTTGGCTTCAAGGAAGAGAAGAAAGACCCTCAAAAGGTATTACTTGTCAAAACCGCTCATTATGTCATGGCTAACCAGACCCAGGCTCAAAACGAAGCCATATTGAAAAGCTTCATGCAAGATTGCGACGGTAATTTCGGCACCCTAGCCACAGCCATTGACCAACTTCACATACCTCGTCTCAAGGAGACACGGCCTGTCCACAGCTATAGAGGATCGCTTACGTTAGGTGACCCCACCAAGTACGATGCTACCATTACAATCGATGTTGAACGATACCCATGTACGATGATAGCAAAGCCACCAACAGCAAGTTCGTTTGTCATACGCACAGACGCCACTGGCTTATCAGGCCCGGTTATTGAGTCCTCGGCTGCTGCAACTGATCAAGATCAAGCAGCAGCCGATCTCTCAGCAGTCCGAAATCAGCGTGTATATCAAGTGGAAAGCCAGACCGAACCCGGCGTCAAGAAGAACGTTGAAATGGACGAGTTGGAGCGGGGCTACGAATATGGCAGGACGGCCGTTCACATTTCCGAGTCCGACATGAATGTTGTCAAACTGGAAACACAACAAGCGATGGAGCTAGTGGGTTTTGTCAGAGCGGAGGACTTCGAACGCTTTCTCCCTCTGAGTCGGACAAACTTCATCGTCCCACAAAAGGCTAACCAGCCTGCTCAATTGGGCTTATCGTCTTTCATACATGCACTGTACGAGGCTGATTGCTACGCAGTCGCAAGGCTGGTTGCAAAGGATCTAAAGCCCCCAGTCTTGCTACTGCTTGTTCCGCGCATCGAGCCAGAGTGGGAGGCTCTGGTAGACGTAGAGCTTCCTTTCGAAGAAGACATGAGGCGGTACAAGTTCCCACCGTTGGATCGAAAGCTTACAGTCAGCGGTAAAGTTATAACGGAGCACAAGGATCTGCCCACTAAGAATCTTCTCAATGCAGTGAGCGACTACGTCGATGCCATGGACTTATCTACCTTTGACCGCGACGAAGACGGGAACGAAGACGAGTACGCCAAACCAGAAGATACATTCTCACCTCTTGTCCACCGCATCAACCAGGTTATACGATGGCGAGCGACACATCCCGATCCCAGCCTGCCGATCCCTGATCCGCCGGAAATTCTCACCAAATACTCTATGCCACCAGCAGAGCTTGTTGCGTCGGCACAAAAGCAACTCAATGCCGTCAAGCAAGCGGCAGACTTGAAAAAAGTACCACCAAAGGTCAAGGGCCGAGGGAAGCGCCAGCGAACCGAGCGTGACAAGCCTCTTTCTGGTTTGGATGTCGACCAACTCCTGGGTAATCCCAAACGTGTCAAGATTGAGTCCAACAATCTGATTCCCTCGTTTAAACAAGCTCTCTCTGCTTCCGATGACTTGGACGCCATCCAGGATGCCGCCGATGGCATTTCAAAAGAAATCCGCTCGCTCATCAGCAACAGTGTTGGTGACAACGCGTACCAACGTGCACTCGAGGCAATTCGTGTCATGCGTGAAGAGCTCGCTGAGCTTGAAGAGCCAGAGATCTACAACGCATTCATCAAGCAGTTGAAGGAAGATATTCTAGGTGGAAAGCTCAACGGCAACCGTAGGGAGATGTGGTGGAGAATCAAAGGCAACCGGTATGGACTCATCGATTCCAAGAGGAGCTATGTCAGTCCTATTACAGAGGACGAGGCGAAGAGATTCTACGAGGTCTGAAGCGGTCATGACATGTTCTTCCACTGGACTTGAAGGATATATGCAGCAACGATGGAATGCACATGCACGGTGATATCACGGCAACTAAAAATACGCTTAATCTCGCTTTGAACCCCGTATCTTTTTCTCTTACCCGTTACTGTTTCAAGGGACAACGGCTTTACGGTTAATTCGTGCGCTACTACCTAGAGGGGTGAGGATTTTGGCCCCCACGAGAAAAAAAAAAGATTGCGAACTCAATGCAAGCGACACCACTTGCCGCTTTCCGTCCTTTTTGGTGGAGCCTAAATGCGCGCACGTCCAATAGGGCCATGTTGGCTTCAGCCTCACACACGTATAACCCTCGCCAGCTGACTCTGGCTGCGCCTCAGCTGTGCGACCTGCCTGGCGCGTATTAACATCTAGACCCTCTCTTCCTCTCAATATCAATCACAGCACCATTCTACGTGGATACAGCGAAGCACATAGCGTGCTTCGTGATGTAGAGCAACCACAGACACTCAACATGGACATCCCGCACACAGGACATGGAAATTCGCCCCCAACGCCAGGCATAACCATCTCGAGACCAGGAGCTTATGCTTCGCTGCCCACCAGGAACAGTTATGAATCCCTTCACAATATGAGCGACAGGCGCTCAAGATTCGAAGAAGATATCGGTTCCGGCCTAGGCATCCACATGCAATCGCTGGGAACGCAAAAGTCTCCAGATGTGGCATATTCGCCTCTAGATGCAGATAGAAAGCGACCTAGCGTGTTCTCTCGGGCTTCAAGTACGGATCCCATGACGCAAAGGCTTATTGCTCACCGCGCTACACAATCAGCACAATGGCGTATACACTGGCGTCCACCAGCACTCATGGTTTTTGCTTTTCTCATGGGAATTGTTTTCGCATTCTTCCAACATCTTCTATACACTGCCCTGCATCACAAAGAGGAAGCCGATGAAAACAAAAAGTTCCGTTTGGTTCTCTACGGTCGTGTGCTAGCGTACCTCTCCAAGGTCGCATTCGGAGGGTGCGTTGTTCTGGTCTTCCGACAGCGACTATGGAGGACGTTTCGAGAGCGGGCGTTGACGGTGCTCTCCATCGACCAGCTCTTCGGCGCAACAGAAGACCCTTCTCTTTTTGCAAACTGGGAGGCCATTACCAACGCTCCTATTCTTGTATTCGTCGCTATGATCATCTGGCTGATACCCTTGGCAACAATCATCTTCTCGCCTGGCGCCCTCACCTTCGGTACCTACCTTGACTTCGAGACTGTCGACATTGTAGTTCCAACACTTAATTTTTCCATGGAATCCACTAAGAACTGGCGTTACCCGATTAAAATGGCTGATGGAAGCAACAAGAAATCTGTAATGTATTACAACACCACTGATATCGCTGGCACAGCACCGGGCTGGTTCGATTACTATGACCAACCATCTGCAGAGTTGGTACGAATCGGAGTTTTGCTGGCGTATAGCAACATGGACCATCCAAACACCCGGCAAGGTGCCCGACAACAAGCTTGTGGAGGACAATACAACTGCACCTACGAACAGATTTTCAACGGACCTGGTTACCAATGCGAGGAGATTAACGATGAGAGCAAACTTCGCGAATTAGACGCACCGTTCAACCATAGCAGAATAGCCCCTCAGGGCCGGGCCGCGTACTTTGCCGAGGTTGATATTGGGGACTACAAAAGGCCGCAAGCTGACGAGTTCCGCAAAGGACCCGGTGGACTGCCTCTTGGTGAAGCACCAGAAAGTTTGGGTGTTTTCAAGTCCGAGCCCATACTGTGGATCGGTTACACCACTAACTCGACGGAAAGACTTTCTCCTAATGACCCTCTTGCGAAGCACTGGACCCATCGCTTTGACTCTCACATTATCCGATGTGTGCACATGGAGACCAAGTACACGGTGAAATGGAATTTTACTGAGCCATTCTTCAAGTCGATAGCGAAGCGAGAATATCTTACCCCAATTGTGGATACAAATTTCACTCGTGGCCTCTACGGTCTAGCAAATCACACGCGAGACGCTGAGCCAGCAAAGAACTACATCAGCCCACGCGGCGATGTGGGTCTCTATAAGAAAACCGCCGCCTACCATGCTCTAGGTTCCATGTTCCGGGGATTTCTTCGCGGACACGTCGATCTCGAGCCCCCTCTACCGGGACCCTATTATTCTCAAGTGTATTCTGACGTCACCAAAACACGACTGGTGTACAAGAATGCGGAGCCAAAGGAAAACCTAGGAGCTGAAATTGAGGCTTTCTACTCAGACATGGTGCTGTCACTGTTCTCTGCGCCGGAAATGCTCGCCGTTCACGAAGAGAAGCTGACGGTTGAGCGATCGCGACTCCAGTCTTCTTTCGTCTATGTACCAGAGCGATTATGGAAGTGCTATATCCCCGTCATTTTCGTCACGTTGTGTATACTTCTCTTTGGATTGTTTACGATCTGGGAAGACGGAACAACGTTTTCTGCTGGATTCTCGCGTATTCTTGTTACGACGCGAAACATGACTTTGGACAATATCAGTCGTGGCGCGTGTCTTGGAAATGACCCCTTTCCGAGGGAGCTCATGAACACGAGGCTCCAGTTTGGCGCTCTTGCCGATGGCAGTGATCCTCCCGCATATTCAAGTGGCGAGTACCAAGGTGGAGGTGGAGTTCAGAGCATTGGTCATTGTGCATTCGGTGTTGCATCCGAGGTCGGGCCCATTTACAAAGGCATGCCTTATGCTGGTCTTAACCGCCCTGAAAAGAAACGGGTTGCATATTCGGATGCGGAAAGTGGATAGGGGAAAATCTGTAACTAGTACGTTTATCTCTAATTGTGTATCTACTCAAATGAGATTTTAATTCATTTCTCTTAGCTCTCTCGTCGCCTTTTCCCAAACAGCAACAATTCTATGCTCGGTCCAGCTTAACAGATACCAATAACGCCATTGACTGGAATGTCAATACTCGTCGTGTAACTCGCCGCATCACTGAGCAAATACACATACGCGCCTCCGAGCTCCTCAACCGCCGCTAGCCGCGGCATACCACCATAGTACTTGAGCTGCTGCTCCCAGTCCGGCTGCTGCTCAACCCAGTACGTCATCGCCGTCTTAACCAAGCCCGGCGATACAGAGTTGACTCTGATATTGTACTGCGCCCACTCCATAGCAAGCGTATGCGTCATATTCCTAATGCCAGCCTTTGACGCACCGTACGGCGCTGAGGGAACACGCTGTGAAAGAGAAGCATTAGTCATCCCATTTTTTTAAACCCCCCCCCCCTTTTACTCATGCAGAAGAAGAGGAACAGGAAGAAGAAGAAGAAGAACATTACCTTGTTCGGTCTATACGACGCCATACTCGCCGTAAACACAATACTCCCTTTAACCCCTTGCTTGATAAACGCCCGCGCCGCACACCGCGCAGAATAGAAACTCCCATACAAATTCACGCCCCACAGCTGGTCAATTTCCTCCGTTGTAAAGTCGAGCGCGGGCTTATGCTTTGTGCGCCCCGCATTGCACACCATGCCGTGCAGCGCCCCCGCTTCGCTCAGCACCTTGTCGACGGCTGCCTGGATCGACGCTTCTTTCGTCACGTCGGCTTCCAGTGCGAAGAGCTGGTTGGGGTATTTGGAGGCCAGGGCGCTGAAGTCGTCGCCGGGCGTGCCGATGTCGAGCGAGTAGACTTTGCTGGCGCCGTTGGAGAGGCAGCAGTCTGCTATGCCGAGGCCGATGCCTGTGTTTTTTTTTTTTTAGTTTTTTGGGGGGTTTGAAAAGGATCATGGACGTGTGTTGTAGGGATATGTGTACGTATATATATATATATATTGGGGGGGGGCTCTACGTTACCTCTGTTTGCACCGGTAATGGCAATTACTTTGCCTTCCAACTGCACCTTCTTGACGGGTTCGGACGTTGAACTAGATGCCATGTTGATATCTACAACTCTTTCTTTCCCTCGACTATTTCCAATAAGAAAAAAAAATATCAATTGAAAACAAATATATATATATGTGTGTTTCTGTACGTATGTGAATGAACCCAATGTATCAATATAAGTATTTCTCATTCCCCGGTCTCCTCCCTGCCTACTTATACACCTCTCTCTCTCTCCGTCCCCACCCCCCCTCTCATCTTTCCTCCATCCTTACTATCCCCATGCCTTCATCCTCTTCCTCCTTACCCCCACACTTACATCCAATCCCTAACCCCGCGACCCCCACAATTTCCGGTCGTAACGAGCACATGCACGCAAGCCTCGTACTATCCCAGCGCGCGCGTGTGTGTGTTCTCGTCTCGAGGCACATTTTCTGGCTGCATCGGGGCTAGTAGCCCCGGGTGCCCACTGCAATCGCGGAATAAGTGCCGAGGATAAGGGATGATCATCCGCCCGCGTTTTTACAATCTGGGGGCTAAAGTCAAGTGGGCTGGGTTAGGAAATCTTTTTTGGGGGGAGATGCGAGGGTATTGTGAAGGAGGGGAGTGCGGGGTAAGAGAGGGTAACGAATACGAGGGAAGAGGAATTTATTCTTGATTTTCTTTTTTTTTTAAAAAAAAAAACGTCTTAAGATTTCTTTCCTCTATTTTGTAGTACTGCTTTTGTTGTATGAATTGATGTTTTATAGTCTGGTCGGTAACTTTTGAACATACGTACCACTACTTATTTCTACCAGCCCCCCCCCCCCAAAAAAAAACGGAAGGGAATAAAAGAGCTCGGTACGTAAACCGTGCTTTTCTCGCAACGAGCCCCAACAAGAAAACCAAAAAAAGAGGGTCCCAACTCGAAATTGTGTTTTTTTCGTAAACTATGTATGTATGTAATATTTACACTGTTTTTGCCCCTTCCCAAATTCCAAATCCGTCTAAGTAGTTAAATGGAGTGTTTTTAATTGAATACAACAGTCTTCTGTCCATTCAAGAACACTCGCTTTTCACTCCACCATTTCACCGCTGCAGCAAGCACCTGGCTCTCGACATTGCTGCCCTCCTCGACTAGCTGCTTGGGGCTCAACGCATGATCGACCCTCGCAACGCGCTGCTCAATGATGGGTCCCTCGTCCAAGTCCGCCGTGACAAAATGCGCGGTAGCCCCGATAATCTTGACGCCGCGCTCGTAAGCCTGGTGGTACGGCTTTGCGCCCTTAAACGACGGCAAGAAAGAGTGGTGAATGTTGATAATCTTGCCCGACATCTCCGTGCATAAGCGCGGGGACAAGACTTGCATGTAGCGCGCAAGCACGACAAGATCGATATTGTGCTGCTTGATGAGGTCGAGAATCTGCGTCTCCTGCTGCTCCTTGGTGTCCTTTGTAACCGGCAGATGGTGGAACTCGATACCGTTGTTCTTTGCCAACTCTGCGAATTCGCCATGGTTCGACACAATGAGCGGCACGTCGACCTTGAGCTGGCCCGACTTGACGCGGAACAAGAGGTCGTTGAGGCAGTGCCCGATTTTCGACACCATGATGAGCACCTTGGGCTTTGCGTCTACCCGCCGGATCTGGTACGTCATGCTCATTTCAGAGGCGAGCGTCGCCATGCTGGCTTGCAGCGCGGATACGTCCGAGGCATGGCCAAAGTGCACGCGCATGAAAAAGGTCTTGGAGTCTGGGTCGGAAAACTGCTGCAGATCCAGAATCGTGAGGTTTTCCTTTGCCAGTAGGCCCGTCACGGCGTAGACGATTCCTGCCTTGTCAGGGCACGAAAGCGTGAGGTAGTGGTCGTCGCCTGCCATTTTGGATGTTGAAATCCTTTCTGCCGAACCGAGTTGTTGAAGGCGAGGAACACTGCTTGCTAGAGAGCGTCTGTTGCCAAAGTGTGACTGTTTTGTAGAAATTTTAGGACATGGGCTTTGCCGAGTTCGGATGACCTCGTTTGGTGCGTAATAGGTGGATGGCCGGACCGCACTTGCGCGGGTCAGCGTGTGGAGTGACCGTGGGTAGGTGCGCACTGAGCGTAGAAACATGTTCGCCTGTTCGGTTCCGTCTCCTTGCCTAGGAGATTGAGCGCGGGATGGCGAACTTTTTCTAAGCCGTGTAAAAGTTAACTTTCCGGTCAAGGTGGCCGAACTCGGCCGGCCAAGGGCATCTAGCGTTGTAATAGACCAAGGAACTCTGGCGCTTGTGAAGACTCGAATCTTATTGAACTTCTTTCGACTCTTGCAGTCACAGTAGGACCAAGCTTCGCATGCTCTGAGTAATAGTATGTTGAGATGCTATTTTTTTCATACGAACATATCCTATGCTTAATGGAATCATGGATTGGGTTACACGCCATGTCCCTTTGAGGCATATAAAAAGCGCGATTAAATCGAAATGTCCCTGGTGCAGATATAGTATGCGTGCTCAGAACGGTCCCAAATTCAGTATACATCTCTACATTGCCTCAACTTAGTCTGATACCGCACTAGGGACTTTAACCTTCTCAGCACTCCTCGCGTATTAGCGTTATCTCTCGAGCACTGGCCGATATACGACTAGTATAGTCATTTAGGCGAGGCTGGTGGCATAATCTGGGATAGATCAGCACTCCTTCTTGACCAAGGTTTCTCCAGTATCTCCCAATACCTCCCTTTCGTAAAAGTGAGACGTTATATGAGCAATTAAGTTCAGTGATCGCGTAGTGATCCCAAAATTATCGAATGATCATACAGGATAACTAGGTACATACAAGTACAAGTCTAGAAACAATCTGATACGCTTCGAACCATATAAGCGTGTTTGCTTCCTTTCTGTCATGAAAATCATTGCCACGAGGGTGCTCATACGGAGAGAGATGATTGCATTGACCATGGTAATTTTCGATGAACTCACCATTCATACTTCCATCCAACAGCTGCATGCCCATAAAGATCAAAGGTTTTTGTGCAACTGTCGCTTGAACGGTACTTCAACAAGTTCTTCGGTGAGAGGACGTAAAAGGTAAGTTCATAATACGATGTTGACACGAGAAGCTCGAACTTTGTGGGAAAGGCTTGCCCAATTTTTCGCTCACTACACGAAGACTTATTGATGTTCTGCATTCCTGTTCAATATAGATTTTTTTTAATTTGAGCATCTATAAGCAAAGTACTTGGCTCCAAGTGATATGTGGCTTCACTCTATATTGAACTACTTCGAGATCAATGTATGGTAGCCCACTTTGATTGTTTTTTACTGGAGGATCACAATGAACACTCTCGTAATATGGCTTATATTCATACTAGGATGTAACGGTATCCTAACAGCCTACACCTCATTCCAAAGACCCCGGAATCATGGATATAAGACAACAGTGTCCCAAACGCCATCGCTATGCACAAAACCCGCGAAACAAGAGCACAAATGTCCACCCTATTGTCGCTTCGCTATACGCTATCCTCGTCTTCGTCGTCACTATCTTCTCTCTCCTCCCACCCTACCATGCGTCGGAGAACACGGTTCTCTTCTCCGAGCTCTTTACAGCGTCCACGCAAGCCTGCCTCCACCTCTCCCTGCATTCGTAGTGCGTTCCTTGCGTTTTCTGCTACGCGGCTAAGTCCCGCTTGCCATTCTGCGTGCTCGATCCTTAGACTCATAGATGTAGATCGTTCCTGCTCAAGCAGTGTTTGATAATGCTTGTGAAGTGCAAGGATCGACGATGTTTGGGAATAAGCATATGGGCGCAACTTGTCAAGTAAAAGAGCCAAGGCAGACTCGTAGTCTGTAAGGAGAGCGGAGAGGGATGTGTTTGTTGCGGTGAGGGAAGCGATGGTCGATTGGGCTGTTGTGAGCTGGTTTTGGAGATGTGTCTGGGTCGCTGCTGCGAAGAAAGTTAGGATCGCATCTTGGTTGCTGTGAAATGGCAGCTAACATACCGTTGATCTCTCCATTTACTTCTCTCATGCTCACTCCGTTTCCCCTCGGTGCGGAACCACCGCCAACCTCTCCACCCTCCTCCAAAGCAGCCCTTCCTTGTATCGCAGCAACCCCTTCTACAATACCTCTTGTCTGCGCCTTGTTCTCCTCCAACAGCTGGCTCAACTGCTGCACCACAGCCCAGAGGTGGTTCATGTCCGTCTGCTGACCACCGCTTGGCAGTCCGTTGACCATCGGAATACTGTTTTGGCCGCCGCCGTTCACTTGCGATCCTGCTATGCTGCCAGCTTGCGAGTGTGAGGGTGAGGGTGGTGGGCGCGATTGGTTATGTTGTTGTTGCTGCTGCTGGGCCTGTTGTTGGGAGGACTCAAGGAAGGAATAGTTGTTCATGACTGAGTCAGGTGTTCGTGTGTGGAGGGGGGTCAGACTTGTGCAGATACTGGTTGGGTTTGGGTTGGCGTGCGGCGTAGGCCGACGGCGTCGGTAGACTTGCGGATAGCCACTTGTCTGATTGGACTGGAAGACAGCGCCTCAGGATGAGCGCGTATATGCGGCTGATAGATGAGGCGACACTAAAATTCAATGCCTGGTATGTATGCGGGGTGTCTTGCGGGGTCAAAACGAGCATTCGTGTTGCGGCTTCGCGTTGGGGGTGGACAGGGTCTACCTAAGTCTTGCACAAAAACGCGCTAGTTGCTTGGCGGTGTACATATGTATATGCACTCCTATAGAGTCAAAGCCACAACTGCAGGAGAGAAGTGAAGTATTATGAAAGAAGAGGTTATTATCAGACAGGGTATTGGAAAAGGAACGCTAGCATGCAGATTTCGCGACGAGCAAGACCTGTTACTACTCAGTTCTGTCAACACCAGCGGACTATTCAAATGCACACCTGCTCTAAATCAACATATCCAATCTCCATTGCATATTATCCAATTACAGAGTAGCTAGCGCGAGTCTGGTATATAAACGGCACTCTTGTACAGATGCTCATCGATCTGGCAATACATATCGCCTCTCGACGCTCATCTCACGATCCGCTTCGTCCTCACCCTCAAACCTGAGCCTCACCAGGTTCTCAACCGTATCTCCCTCCCTCCCACCATCTTCCTTCTTCACTTTACCATCAGATTGTCTCCATGTAGCTACAACTTCCGCTTTATAAAAGGTGGTTGTGCCTGGGTAAAGGGCGAGTACATTCTTGCCCTTGGGAAGGTCGGGCAGTGTGGCGTTAGAGGACTGGGGTGGAATTGGAATTAGATGATTGACCGAGGCGCGATATGGTGCGGATGGGGTTGGGGGATCTGGATCGGCATCTATAATTTCATATCGACGCTGCTTGCCTTCGCCGATGACTGACGTCACGCGACAGAGGATACCTTCACCCTCAAACGACATGGACGACGAGGAGGATCGGTTTTTGGCGTTATTGCGGTAGAGCACCTCAGTCTGTGGGGTAAGGCGCGGTCGAACTTCTGGAATTTGTCAGCCCTCGTTGATATCGAGTATGATGGGATGACGGCTATGTAGGCGGATGCTAAACGGGAAAGTTACATGGTGGCATGAGCACACAGAAAAGAGGTATGAGATGGGACGAGGTGAAATTTTGAGCTTGCCTATCCGACTACAAACCTCGAACAAGCCGAAAGGAAAGATGCCAAAGTGGGTATCATCTGTCGTCTAGAAAGAACGCCGAAAGCGAAGGAGCTCAACGCTTGGTCTTGTATTTGATCTTGGGCTTGGGCTTGGAAGAAGGAAGTACCATCTTACCCTTACCCGAGTCATCCTTGTCGTCTTCCATCTTGACGCTGCCCTCTCTCGCAATGGGGACTGACCCTGCCCTGCTGCCACCAGACTTGGCAACCAGTCGGTCTTTCTGGCTGCTGATGATAACTTTGGGGCTAGGACCTCCGGGGCTATCTGCAGTCAGACTGTCGCGGTCATCGATGCTATCGGTCAGCTTTCGCTTGCCCTGGCGGTCGCGCCCAGACTTCCCATGCCCAACGCTAGTAGATCGTGAAGCAGATGGCTGAGCTTCTTCAGAATTGCGCAAGGCAGCAAGGAGAGTCATTTGTGTATGAACGTCATTACCACCTTCGATAGGCTGGAGGAGAGCTTGGACCTCTTCCACCTTGCGGATGTTGTCTCGTAAGAGGTCCTCCAAATCATCGTCAATACGGGCTGAGCGTTCCTCTCCACGGTCTGTTCAAGTTAGTGCTGGTGCTGCCACGGCAGCAGGTCTAAACGTACCTGTACGAGCGGCCTGCTCTGCTTGGAGAGCAAGGATTTTTTCCTGGAGAAGATCTGATTCTTTCTGCGACACGTTAGTAGAGGGCGACGGCGTGGGATAGCTTGATCCGGGGTGGCGAAAGGAAGCATGAACGGCAGAGTATTGGAGCTTCACGCCTCGCAACCATTCTGTCCACAAGGCTATCATAAGCCACTGGGCTTTTGTCACGTCCGTATCTCATCGTTGATCGTGAGCTTGGTATACATGGTGCTGGATCGAGCATAACCAATGGACTGTCGAGTCGCGTAGCTTGCGGGTTACAGGGCGCGTTGTGAATACAGTCAAAAACTAGCAAACAAGAGTGCTGAGGGTGCGTTGATTGAGATGTCTCATACCATGAGCTGGTCAACCCTTCGGCCATCGGATTTGATCGAGTTCCAAATCACCCGCTCCTCATCGAACTCCTCCTTGAGTTGGCCGCGGGGCCTGCTTCGAGCAGCCATATTGACGGAAGTTGTTCTCCGCCAGCTCCCCGGCACTTTCTGTGTTACCGGACGCGTTGCAGGCAGGTCATGTGGGAGCGGTGTGGTCTGGTGGAGGGAGAGTGAAAGAAGCGGGAAATGCAAACGAGAGCACGTGTAGTTGATTGCGATGCAGGGTAGGAGCCGCGCTAGCAACGGAAGAGGGGTAGGGTCTCCATGAGCTTAATCCGACCAGCCTTGTGACGATGTTTGGGGGACGCCAATTAGCGGCACAAGTGGGCCTGCCAAAGATCCGGTGCCACGCATCACCTTCCTTGACCACAATTGACACACAATACAAGGCCTTGCCAAAATGCGGAACCCACTTATCAGATTAGAATGCGGTAAGCTGGAATTGAAAAAAACGGAAAGAGAACACAAATTGATTGTCTTGCAGGCGTGAACAGCTACGACTGGGGTACGCAGCCCCGCATCATAATTCCATCAGCGGTATGCTGAACCAGCCCAGGGAAAGTCGGTAAAGACTCGGCCGCTGCCAAATTCCACGCTGCGACAGCTTCGGAATTCTCAATCGAAGAAGAGAAGCCGTACGCTGAGGTATACAATCAATGCGGCATCATCGTCGACGCGTTACTCACAGTTGTAGTTGTGGATGGGCACCCACCCGTCACTTCCCTCAAAGGATCTCGAGACGAAGCGAAGCCTCCTAGACCTTGTCCAAGAGAATCAGGCGCTACTTTCCACCGAGATCGCTGAGCGATATGAGAACAAACTACCGTTCCTGTTCAAGGTCCTGTCCATAAACAAGGCCTTGAGCATACAGGCACATCCCAACAAGAAGCTTGCTGAGCAGTTGCATGCGAGCGACCCCAAGAACTACCCAGGTCAGTCTTCATACACCATTCTTGAATCGATACTAACTCTGCCATTCAGATGACAACCACAAGCCCGAAATGACCATTGCGGTCACACCCTTCGACGGACTCTGTGGCTTCCGTCCTCTTGCCGAAATTGCGCACTTCCTCAAGACAGTTCCTTCGCTACGCAAACTCGTCGGCGAAGAAGAAGCGACCAAATTCAAGGATACGATCAAGGGAAAAGAGACGTCAGACAAGGAGGAAGACGTGCAAGCAAACAAGAAGGCTCTCCAGTCCGCCTTCACAAAACTCATGAACGCAGACAAGGACGCACTAGAATCCGCAAGCAAAGAACTCATCGAAGCCGCAAAGTCTGAGGGCGAAAACTTCGCAGGCGGCGGACCACCCTCCAACACAGGCAAAGAACTCGCCGACCTCGTCATCCGCCTCGACTCTCAATTCCCCAGCGACATCGGTCTCTTTGTTCAATTCTTCCTCAATTACGTCAAGCTCGACGTCGGTGAAGCCATGTTTCTCAAAGCAGATGATATCCATGCCTACCTCTCTGGTGACATCATCGAGTGCATGGCCAGCTCCGACAATGTGGTGCGCGCGGGCTTCACCCCGAAATTCAAGGATGTCGACAACCTCACCAAGATGCTGACGTATAGCTATGCCCCCATTAGCGAGCAGAAGATGGAGCCCAAGGATTACTCGCGTGTGAGGTTGAATGCGCCTGCATACAGTTCCAACTCGAGCAATATGCTGTACAATCCCCCGATCCCAGAGTTTGCGGTTGTGCGCACGGCGCTGAACCGGGTTGGCTCTAAAGCGACGTTTGATCCTATTGATGGCCCCAGCATTATTCTCTGCACAAAGGGCAAGGGAACGATCAGTGTGGGACCCAAGGAAGAGGAGCTGCGTGAGGGCTTCGTTTACTTTGTAGGAGCCACAGCCGAGGTAGTAATCAAGAGCGATGTGGATGCTGAGGATGAGGAAGGCGCAGAAGGTCTTGTGACGTTCAAGGCTTTCTGTGAGATCGAGGACGACAAGGGCAAGCTTTGAAGATAGTCTCTTCGAGCACGCACACGACCGATATGAACAAAGGAAATGATTGATGAAGTGCCGTGTCATTGGGATCGTTAGAGTACATAGGTATCATAAGTATCTCCCGAGAAATATATCGCCGTCGCCACCACCGCCCTAGAATTCTATTGGAATGCCCAATATCCACATGCGTACACCCTTAGAAACCGTCATCGATGCCCTTGTTCTTCTCCGCCGCGCGTCTTTCGTCGTTAATAGGCCACCACCACTCATGTATTTCTGCAGAGCTTTTGCCAGGTGCCTCATCCCAAGGCTTCGGGCTCAAGATGTAATGTACATTCTTGACCTCTTCATCCTTCCATATCGCACCATGTACATCCTTTGATCGCATCGTCTTGAGCGCATTGTAGGTATATGGCAAAGCGACCCAGCGCCCGTTGAAGAGATCGCCGAGGAGAGACTGATCGGCGAAGTCGTACGACATGGATGTTTCGTTGGCAAGTTGTTGTAGAATAAGCTCGTACGTAGCCTTGGAAGGATTGACGACTTGTAGACCTCCGTTGGGCATGCGAAGACCGGCTGTAGAAGGAGCACCGATTTTCTGAGCGGCATCAGGGTCGCCATGTTGCGAAGTGAATGCGCAGTTCTCGGGGATCCTATTCCAATGTTAGTTCAAGGGTTTGCGCAAGTTCTACGTGAGGGAGAGAAAGATGTACCAGTCCTTAGGATAATGCGGCTTCTTGAGCGGATTGCATACACAGGCATGGCTCGCTGCAAATACCCTGTCGCCCTTGCCTCCGGCACTCGGTGGATCCAGCTCCAGCTCCATCAGCTCATCCATGTTCTTCAGCACCACCATGTCGCTGTCGAGCTGGACAACCCGGTCATACTCTTCCAACGAGAATGGCGTCAGTTTACTCCAGCAATCATAGAAGCGCGGGTCATTAGTGAAGTCCTTGTTGACCGTAGGTAGCAAGTACTTGACATGCTGTTTGGGAATGCCGCGCTCATCGAGCGCCTTGTGACCTTCGGCGGGGAAAGTGTCGGTATACAATGCGACGAGTGGGTATTTCGAGCCGTGTTTCTTCAGGCTGTAATCGAGGGTGAGGAGGCCGGTCAGGTATGCCGTGTTAGTGATGAGGGTGGTCCATACTGAGATATGTTATTTTTAACAATTACATGTTAGACCAAGCCTTGCATACCTTTCTTCGACTTCGTCCCCGCTGGTGTTATACTAGGTGTTTCAGTCGCGTTCTGCATCGTTGACAAGTATGCGTGTCGGACGCGTCAATGCAGTTGGTGCAATGTGTTAAGTATTGATAGAAATACTATCCGATTAGTAACAAGATTGAATTGCGCCATCTTTGGTCTGTCTATGACTGCAGGTTTGTTTGGAGGGGTCGTAGGAGCCGCTAATCTAAGTAGTAACGATCGTACCAATTCGGATAGCTTGGGACCCTGGGAATCGAAGAACGGTCCGACCTTAGCCGATCTCCGGTCCCTCTCGAGATCGTCACCATCTGTATCGCGGACGCTTGTGCGTTTCCGACTGCAGGCTACCGACGCGCTGCACAAGATATGGGATGGGGATTAGCACACATCGAGATGCTGATGCTTTTCCACTGATATCTCCTCCTGGCCTTGTTCTTTGAGGCATGATTCTCATGTTACACTGGAGAATAGCGACGCGACCATGGCTACTACAGCGCTGAAATCCGCCGATATGAGGCCTGCAGCAACGGCTCTTATTGCGACCTCCGACGAACCCCAGAAGTCGCCCAAACATTACCGTGGCTTCGTAGCTGGAGTCTTCAGTGGCATTGCAAAGCTATCAGGTATGACAGTCTGTACTTGTTGCTTAGTTCCTTATCTAACTACAGATAGTCGGTCACCCATTCGACACAGTGAAAGTGCGACTGCAAACGACAGAAAAGTCGCATTTTAGAGGTCCGGTAGATTGTCTCATGCAGACTTTGAGAAAGGAGGGCTTTGCGGGATTGTACAAAGGCGCGACCCCGCCATTGGTGGGGTGGATGTTTATGGACTCGATGTATGACACTTTCGACCTAAGACTTGATGAATTGCTAACAGCGTGTAGTATGTTAGGATCCCTCAGTGTATATCGCCGCGTCCTCAACGACCATGTCTTCAATCCACCCTCGTCTGTTCGATTTGGCGAACAGCAAGGCAAGCTCCCCACATACGCCCATGGCATGGCGGGCACAATGGCAGGCTGGACGGTATCATTTATTGCGGCGCCGGTTGAACACATCAAAGCCCGTCTTCAGGTTCAATATGCAGCGGATAAGACGGCGCGCCTCTACTCTGGACCAATTGACTGTCTGAAGAAAATATACAAGGGCCATGGCGTAAAGGGTGTGTACCATGGTCTGAGCGCGACCCTGCTCTTCCGCACATTTTTTTGTTTCTGGTGGGGGACGTATGACTTGTTCACAAAACAATTCCATAAACACACGAACCTGTCAGTACCTGCGGTCAATTTCTGGGCAGGTGGTCTTTCGGCGCAGATATTTTGGTTGACAAGCTATCCCAGCGATGTGATCAAGCAGCGCATTATGACAGATCCGCTTGATAATAGGAGATTTCCCCGATGGAGAGACGCCGCTCAAACAGTGTACAAAGAAGGAGGGTGGAGGGGATACTGGCGCGGCTTTGTGCCATGCTTTTTACGTGCCTTTCCAGCCAATGCCATGGCGCTAGTGGCGTTTGAGGGTGTGATGAGGAGTCTGCCAGAATGAAGGGGAAAAAACAACTGAGTGGCGATGGAGCGTCTGAGCAATGAGAGAATAGCTACTAGAGTGTAACGGTGTATGCTGGTGCTGGCTTTAAGGCACACGATACCCATGATATATGTAAAAAAACATAGCCAAGCCGAAACACTTTTTGCTTGTCTTGACCCACGCCAAGTTCCACTGCTGGTTGGATTTTTTTCTGTTACACTGCCGGACTAAAGCTAGGCTCCTCGGCATTGCTGGCGTCGTGATTGATTCATGTATGGAATAGCCATTGTGCCTGTCGAATCATGGCGTGTCCATGTCGAAGACGTGGTATTGAGCAACGCCTCGTGGTTTTAGTATAGAGCTGATAGGGTTAGCTCGAAGGTTAATGCGCATGAGGTAATGGCCCAGCTTCGGTATAAGTGCTTGTTTGGACAACTTTCCCGTATGGAGCCGCACATGATGATATAAGGCGTGTTTTTGGTTAGCGGGCGACATTGCTACTGCAGCGTAGCGGGTCGCAACGGCTGAAGCAGACGCAGGCATTACGACAAAGGCTTTGTGCGACTAGCCGCGAAGGGGAAAGAAACAAAGAAGCCGGTGTATCGGCAAGGCTGTGTAAGCAGAGCGGCGAGTCGACGCGGCGTGACGAGCAGCGAGCGAATGGCTGCTGTAGGTGTACAGGCATCGAGGCGAACCATTGGCGTATGTGGAGCAAAGGCCGTGGGTTCGGAGCGTGTACTGAAGTAGGGTGCCTATATATTGTATGTATATCTGTATGTACGTGTATGTACTACGGCATGTCTGTATAGGCAATCTCAGGAGTAGCGCCGCGTACCTGCATCTGCCGGCACACTGGCCACACAGGAACGGCGCACACGAGGGCCCAGTATGTCGCAATCAAACGCAGGCACCCAAGCAGAGCAGAGGGCGGGGCCCCCTTTTTGCGTGCATGGCGGGCGCTGAGGATGGCGATGGTGGTGCGGCGAGAGAGAATGGATGGACCTGTCAAGAGCAAGGCCGTTGGCCGCGCACGGATGTTTCGTCGGCTGGAGGCTCTCTGGGATCTGCAGCCTGCTTGCCTCTGGTTTCACTCCTGACCGGCTTGAAACCTTCATTTTAGGCACACACACGCCCGCGTCCACGACGCCATATCTATCTCTCTCTCGCGCCCCGTCCCGTCTTGTGCCGTCCCCAGTATAGTCTTGTGTCTTTCTCTCTCCACCGCCATCTCTTCCTCTTCCTCTTATCTTCCTCTTGCTTTGCCCCGTTGCAAAGCATAAACACGTCTCCCGCGCCCGGCCTACCCAATCCCCCCCGTTCGCCTTCAGCTGCTGCTGCCGAGACGACAACAACATCACCGCCACTCCCTGCCTCGTATACCGGCTACTTACTACCTGGCAAGCCCCTCCCCACACACTACCGACTTCATCCCCACGGCCACGCTGCCACAATGGGCGCGTCCATATCCAAGGCCATGGCCAAGATCTTCGGATCAAAGGAGATGCGGCTGCTGATGCTGGGCCTCGACGCCGCTGGAAAGACGAGTATGTTGGCAGCATCTGCAATGTTCGCTCAATGCCCAAACCCGGCTGACTAGAACCCTCGCAGCCATCCTTTACAAGCTCAAGCTTGACCAAGATGTCACCACCATCCCCACCGTCGGCTTCAACGTCGAGACTGTCACATATAAGAATACCAAGTTCAACGTCTGGGACGTCGGCGGCCAAGACAAGATCCGCCCGCTGTGGAGGCATTACTTCTCTGGTATGTTGGGACATCCCGGCATCGTTTCGGGTAGGCGAGTAAACATGCGCGCACGCGACAGTGCCGCGCATGTTTCGCCCTACCCCGATTGATGCTGTGCAGCACTCGACATGCGAGCACCCGTGCTGACGTGACGCCACAGGAACCCAGGGACTCATCTTCGTCATCGACTCCAACGACCGCGCCCGTATCGAGGAGGCAAAGACGGAACTTACCCGCATTATCCAGGACAGGGAAATGAAGGACGCGCTGTTGCTGGTATTCGCCAACAAGCAGGACTTGAGCGGAGGTGCGTACATGGAAATCACTATCACCACAAACAAATTGCTAACCCCGGCCAGCGATGCGACCCAAGGAGGTATCCGATCTACTACAATTGGACAAGATTGCCAAAGACCACGTATGGAAAGTCGAGCCTAGCTGTGCAACAACAGGCGAGGGTATTTTCGAGGGACTGGTAAACTTCACCCGCCACCTGTTCTTCCGTCAAGTTACTAATACGACTCAGGCATGGCTCTCCAACAACGTAAAGCTGCCACCGGGCGCCAAGTAGACGATTTGGCCAGCATCATTCCTCTCCCATACACTCTGATTGTTGTACGACTGCATGCGCTCCTCTACTTGCTCTGCCTCTTCCTGCATATACCCGGTTTTTTCTTTTCTTTGTCACACTCTATCGCCTTGTAATCTTCTAATCCATGGCTGCTTCATCTATCAAGGGTGGTCAGGTCTGTTGGGGGCTCTTTTCTTTTTCTCTCTATCACTGTCTCTATCTGTGTGTGTGGGGTGTGCAATCAGGAATGTACAAACTAGTCAGCGTTCATCTAGTTGTCGTGTCCCCTCTCTGCGTGTCTTTTAAGTCATAGCAAACGACTTGATTTCCCTACTGTTGGTCTCTCTGTGTGTGTGTGACACCTCTTGTCACTATTTGTCCTGAGTCGCTCTTTCCAGCTAATCTGAGCCTTTGTTCACGTGATTGCTGTTTTCTTTACTCCTTCCACGCTTCCATCTCATACCTGCAAATTGATACTGAACAACCCCTTTCCCCTTTTTTATCTTCTTTCCTTTTCTTCGACGCCAAGACTCAACGTATTCGTTTTTTCTAGCAACTCTTTATTCTGCTTTCTTATTCTTCGGTCCCGAATGCCGACTCCAACATCTCTCGCATAAAAAATCACACCGAAGAAGAGTCTATGAATATTTCAAATGTTTATTCATTCGAGAAGCTTAGTGACAAGCCACCATTCTCAAATCATATGCTTGTACACTTACTCTATGTGCTAATTGCCAGTATCCCATGCAAAATATTGCAGACACAGCTGATGTCTTCTCTATCTTGAGCCTGCGCTCCTCCTTCCAATTGAGCCCAAAAAACACCAGGAGAATGAGCGCTGTACATGCAGATTATACAAAGTAAAAAAACAAACAAACAAACAAACAAACAGAAACAAGATGTCTAGTGCCAGTGGCATCACGCCCTGCTGCACAATCACCTCCACTGGCCCTGGCTGAGCTTCAGCAGACCCTCGACACAACCAGCTTCTTCAGCTGAATTGATGCTCGAGCGCCCACTTGCTCCATCTCCGCCCATAAACTGCCGTAGTTCATCGTCTTGCTCGGGATCGATGACCAGTTTCCCACTACCCCTCCTTTCCTTGGCTAACATTGCACCTAGACTTGATGCTTGTGACATCAACTCTATGTTCTCCCCAAGGATTTGACGAGCACCTCTCGAAGCTGGAGGCGTGGCAGCAACTTGTCGATCGCGACGTACCGATTTAGACGCGTTTGGCTCCCAGTTCTCCTTGTCGCTCTCTGTTGGTGGCATCTCGTCCGATTCTGTGCTGTCGCCGCCCCTTTTGTAGTTGGAATACTCGATGTGTGGGATACGACCGCTAACTGTCGAAGCGCGTTGCATGGGACCACGCGACTTCTTCACTAGCGGACTACCAAGCACCTTGTGTAAGCTGTGACGCGTGAGTGGACTGCTGTTTTGACGCGCTTGGTTTTGAGCTAATATTCTTCGGTTTGCGCGAAGTATGCCGATCGCGTCTGCTGCACTTCCACTCTCTTCTTGTTCTGCACGCGCAGTAAGGCTTGTCGTAGACCGGGCTTCAGGATCGCACCAGAACTCCCATGCACGCGAGTCTCTACTCCTTCCAATGCTCGATCCCGTCCTTGGTAGCTTTGGGCTTGGCTCTCCTCGTGCAGCAGCAGCCAATCTATCGTTCAAGCCTGCTGCGCTGTAACTTCGTCGAAGGCCGGCTGCAGCATGAGAAAAGGTACACGGAGTCTTCTTTGATTTCGGCGGCGAAGGTGTCCTATCCAAGTCGGTGACGATGCGGGCGGTACCATTTTCGTTTGTCGACAAGCGCATAAATGAGTGCGTGCGTTTCAGTGGACGTGAAGGGGTCTTTGTTGAGGCTTCGGGTAATTCCAAGGGCCTGGGCGGAGCATTCGGGAAAGTGATGACTTCAGGCGTGTAGTCTTGTAGACACCGGACGAATGAGGCACTGCGGCGGTTGGAAATCCATGATGTGCGTGATTGCGTGGGACCTTGTGACAATGATACGGCTTGCTGAGAGTTGGTGATCTGGGGAGGAGCTATCCGTGTCTGTGCTTCAGCTGAAGTCTCTACAGCTGCTTCATTTGCGTTCTCAGGCTCGGCAGCTGGAGAGACGGCTGTGTCGATGGTGCGCGGCTCTGGGATAGTTTCGTCGGACGTCAGTTCGGGGGTTGCGGGCTGTTCTGGTGGATCGGACTTGGGGCACTCGTCCGACTCGTGCGGCTCCGGGGCGTTATCGATACGGCGCGCAACAGCCACTACTTCATCTTCGGTGGGCGGGTCCGACATGGTGGATGACGACGACATAAATGATGCGGTAGACGACGGCTCGAGTGGCCGTGAGCGACGACGGTCGTTCTGGCGTTTGTCTGGTGCAAGGCATGGTCAGGACGTGTTTCAACGTTGGTGTAGCTTCGCGCGGTGCACGACAAACACAGCCTGCAAGGCAGCAGCAACATGCGCAGCGATGCAAGGAAAGAACGACTCACTCTGAAACCAGATCTAAGAACACAAGTTAGCAGGAGCGCGCATACTCGTGACGTGGTGCAATATGGGTCGTACCTGGACCTCTTTTTCGCCAAGCGCGACCTTTTTGACAATTTCTAGGCGGGCAGTTTTGCTGGGCTTGGGGTTCTTCAGGTACTCGGACTTGAGTATATCTTCGTCTTCCTTGCTGCAAGCGGGCGTGGTCAGCGGCGATGCCATGTTGGAGTGTCGCTTGCCCGCGGGGTAGTAGGCCGAATAGCTCCCGGGCGGTAGGCCGCGCACGAACCAGCACGCGTCGAACATGGCGAATACGTACATGTCGAACATGGGCCCGCTGCCAGATGGAAGAACAGAAAGAGGAGGAATCGGCTACGTACCTTGTGCGTCTTCGCTTCTGACGAGCGAGAGCCTTGTTGTCGACGTCTGGAGGCATGTGGTTTGCAACCGTTTCCTGCGAATGGACGAGAAAAGCCAATTGACCACTGAAACTTGCGCGTCTAACCGCTGGGAGACGCGATGACGCAGGCGACGAAAACGAGGGCAGAGGCGACGAGTAAGTCATGGCGAGGGGGCGGCACCGGGCGTAGGGAGGAGAGAACAGTGTATTTCAAGAATTGGCCGGCATGCAGAGGTTATAGTAAGAATAACGCGCGCAATATGGTGGCAGGAAAGGGTCGTGAGAAGCGCGTCTTCCCGTCGCGTGCGTATCAGTATCAGATTGGTCCGAGCCGGGCGCTTGCCTAGCTATGTCGTGCAGCCCACCTTGCCCCAAGAACGAACACGCCGTCTGTGCACACACTCGCCCACCAGCCTCATGCTCACGTCCAAGGTCTATCCCGCCCTGCAGATCGTCACATATACATGCGCGACCCTCGCGGGGCTACTTGGCGACACAGCCGCGACGTGCTTCGTATGGTGAACATACGCACTCATTCCTCGCCGCCTCTCCTGGCCTCTTGCGCCTTGCTTTTTCCACCGTTCCCTCAGCCTTATCCGAACAACCCCGGCCAGTTGTGCGCGTGCGGAAACCATCATCTCACAGCATAGTAGTTGTGAAGACTTGTGCCCGGCTCGTCAGCATAGCGACGCGCATGCCGGGATCCAACAATCAAAATATCGAGCCAGAGAGTCGAGTGAGCCATCCGTGCCACCCCACGTACAGGGCGACTACTTTGCCTCCAAAAGCGGCGCGCTTGGTTTCAGTGCCACTCGCGAAACACGTCGACACGTGATACCTTGGCCCAATTAAGCACCCCTCCCCACGCCGCCTCCGCAAAACACGATCAGTGGATCCATACACATAGTACTTGCACTCTACATACGCGTCCGGACTATGCTTCTACGCAAACTGTCTACCATCGGCCTTTTCCAATGTCCCGTCTTGCACCTACGCGTTGTCGCTGCTTCGTCTAGGCAACAACTCACATTTCGCCCATCCCATCCATCTCCTATTTGCGAATGTGAGCACAACCGGTCCTTCTTCCTTAGCATCTGACGTGTTGCATACACCTGGGTCTGTCGATGCACTCAATGTCTGCTTTTCCTGCTACCCCACCTGTACCGGTGAAGATGGTTCACTCAAGGCAGAAGGCCATGGGACGAGCTGCCGTAGCCTCCATCATCTCCACACGTTCTGTCAGTCAGTCAGAAGGGCGTCCTTTCTGCCTTGCACATACTGGTGAATTCAGCCCAAAATCTAGGCACACACTGAGGCAGCCTTAAATTACTGAAAGAAGCATAGGCAAATCAGCCAAATAGCTTATCCTCACACAGCCACAAAATCCGATGGCCATCTCTGCCAGCTCAGGGTCCGTTGTTCAAGCGCAACGGTTGCTTGTTGTTGTGGCTGTTGCTGGTGTATGCGCCATTCTGGACACTAAACTAGTCTTCGGCCCCATTTTCCTTTCCTGTCATCTTCCGAGAACCTCTTGGCTTCTTTGCTCGTCCATGATTGGTGAATCTCTCCCGCGCCAATCGCTGTCTCCGAAAAACATGTCTGTACGTATGTCAGTAGCATACCCATGCTCCGCCCTATAACTTAAGCCTGGCGGAATTGCCGCTCCGTAAGTTCGTCGCTAGACCGATAAGAATATTCTAACTCATTTTTGAAAGTCTCCAGGGTTCTGTCCTTGAATCAGCACATACCGTGATCAAGCTTTTACTCTTTGACTAAGTGCTCTGTTCTCCACCTAATGCATGATTCCATGTCATAATTCTATGGACGTTCATGGAACCGCGTGATAACTGCTTCAAGAGGGTGATGACCAATTCCTTCCACTATCATCTCCAGTCTTATGGTAAAATAGAGAGTTTAAGCCCGTTCTCTAATGCTTACACACTTCAACCCCACGCACATGCCGCGTACACTTTTCTATATCTTGTATTACCTTTGCTACTAAGAGTCACAGGACGCCTGCAGCAACGGAGTGGCGGTGATTCGGCCCCTACACACTAGCTGCAGCACCGGGTCCCACCACGGAGGATATGTTCGAAGCAGGCAACGGTATCAGATATGTGATCTGCCACTGGATTTCACCAGTGTTTTCCAATTTCTCCCCAATCACCCTTGGATGATGCAGAACATGGTGGTAGCGGCCGTCCCGCCATGGCTGCCGGCCTCACCCTACCATGGGTTCGGAAACATCCCTGTGAATCACGGACGTCAAAACGTTGTAATATGGGAAGGGTAAATGGTCATGGGTGGTGCACAAGGTGAGTCTTGGGTGTGATAATAGAAAAGGGAGAGTGGTCGAACCCTGTCCCCAATCTTCGAAATCCTTCGAGAACTAAGAAGCCCGAAATAAATTGTGAATAGCAATGCCGGCCAACATGCGCATCGCTATAGCAGGTGAGACGGTGATTAGAATATTCTAAGAAGTCTGCTGACTTTACAACGAACATCAGGTACTTGTGGCCTAGCACTTCTGATAGCTCAGGAGATCAACAACTCGACTAGTCACCAGTTGGTCATTCTCTCAAGAACGGTATGTATCCAGAAACAGCTCAGCATCAGATTGCTATATTGCTTTGGCCAAACTGACTCTTGTTAGCATCAAACTAGTCTCATAGCATCTGGTTACAACTGCCAGACGGTTGACTACAACAATGCGGCCTCCCTTCAGCATGCCTTGATGGGCGTTGACACAGTCATATCCACAGTCTTGGGAACCCCCCAGCTTCGGCTCATTGAAGCGGCTGTACAATGTCGTGTGCGACGTTTCGCGCCTGCCGAGTTCCAAGGTCAACCAGGTTTGCGAAGTCAGAACGGATTACTCGACCGTGGGGAGGACTCGGCCTTAGCTTTGCTCAAGCACTACAGTGGCTATATTCAGCACACCGTTTTCGTCTGTGGTATACTCTATGAGCGATTCTCCGTCAATGGAATGATGTCTCATCGTATGGGGGCCAGTACGGGCTATGGCAATGAAGGAGACTTTATTGCCAATCCCCGACAGATGACCTCGATAGCGCCAATCTACGATGCCGCGCAAAACCCCTCTTGGTTATGCTTGACATCTGCATATGATGTGGCACAATTTGTAGTTCGTGCCATTGACATGCCCACCTGGGCTTCCGAGATGAGCATGTGTGGCGAGCGTATGACTGTGCATAGTCTTGTTGAGACAATCAGGGCTTGTAGGAGTATGTTAGACCTCCTGAGCAGGACAAGCTGAGTGAACTGACTTTTGTTAGATCGTGCTTGGGTCAGCATTGAATACCAAGCTCCCGCAAGTACGTCGCTCTCCTACTGCATGTCAATTTGTGTACTGACTAGATTCGCAGACCTCGAGTACCACATGACCATGGCACAGTTGGAAGGTGATGTGGCTGGACAAAGACGGCTCGCTCCGCTGCTTGCGACGGCAGAGGGGCGCTACGACTTTGTAGTGCCCGCTTACCTCAACACCGTCTTCCCTGACATCCACGTCACTCGTTTCCAAGACTGGTTCCTGCGCAATTGGGCATCTATACCTTGAAAAGCCCGCACGCATACGTCATACTCTACACGAGCTAAGTATGTACCAGTACGTGTTTATCAAAAACCGGATGCAGGGACTATTTTTTGCCAGGACCCATGGGTGAAACAAGCATCAGAAGACCTCGTTATGCTGAACTTAGGCAGTATGGCGCTTCCCATGCCCGTCCGATGGCCGGCAGACCCCTGTCATGTCATCGGTCGGAACCAATACCTCACATTCTCCACTTGGGCGTTATTTATGCTGTCTTTGGCATTGGTTTCCTGCTTGCTTCATTGCTAGGATGATCTTCGGACTTTGCTAGGGGTAGAAATGGGGAAAGGGCAAACACAAGGAGAAGCCAGTCACATTCCTTATGAGGATACTTGTATTTCAAAACTTCCCATCATCAAGGGAAGCAATCAGAAGTTGCTTACGTCTTACTGTACTTGGCTTCCCAGTTCCCCAATCACAATCAACCGACACACGACACTTTCCAGAGTTGCGGCTCGCTTGTCCCGATGCACGGGCGCAAGCACTAGCTGATTTTGCAGAAGACCATCCGATGATGCGAACAAACCCACTCTGCTGGGGTGGGAATCTGCGATGGGCAAATTGCATCAGTGAGACGTCATGGTGGGGCGAGGGTTCTCAGCTACCATAATAAAACACCAACGCGCCCGACAGTGCAGTTTTCTTTCCACTATCACAACCACAACTTCAATTACATTTCTAACATCAAACTCACACTCCCGGCACTCTTCGCTTCCCTCTCATACCCATAAAGTAAGTACAATCTTATGCAGGAGGCGGTAGGAGGCTCTCAAGTTGGTGTTCCTGACGCGAGACGCGGCCCCACATGCATGCCTTGAGTGCTTTTAAGTACTAACATACCTAGCACACAACTACAACCAAAATGGTCTCTTCTCAGCAAGGCTACTCCAACACCACTGTCGACATGAAGGGCAACAACCAGGCCGTCGATGAGGCCCAGTCCAACCTTCCTCTTCCCGACCAGCCTCCAGTCGCCTCCGACTTCAACTCTTCTAACGCTCGTACTGTTAACGTTGGCTCGGGTGGCCAAGAAGCCAGCTTCACTTCTGGCGGCGGAGCTATCCGCGAGCCTGCAGTCGGTGCTACTGGTGCTTCAGCTCGTGAGGCAAAGGATGGTCTCGATGGCATTCCCAACGATGCTGTTTCTCGCGAGGCCAAGAACCACTCTGGCCTTGCCGACACAACTGGCAAGGACTACGGATACCCACAGAAGAACGACCCCAGCTCCGGTCTCAAGCAGTAGAGCATTTCATGAAGAAACGATGATCAAAAATACCCAAAGCATAGTGGGATTGGAAGATTTTCTTATCATATCAGGTCACTGTCACTGCGTTCAGCTGGCCGACTGCAAGAGCAGTATCTTGATGACTTAATGTACGAATTCAATGAATGATGAAATACATGTCTTTCTCATGTTCGTGATGTCTTCTACTGAATGCATTCGCTATCATCTGGCTAGCTGTCTGACTGGTGCATTTGATCTCTCGATCGAAGCGAAGCAATGCCGGAAGTGTGAACATCAAACACCCCAAGAAACTATGAAGTATGAATTGTACGGTAGCAATTGTATCCTTTTTCCAGATATTTTCTAAAAAGGATATATTACTTTCTAATAGCAGTATAGGGTTAAGCGCCGTAAGCTCGCCTTCTTGGTCCAAACAAGAAAGTGTACATACACGCTAACTAGGTGCTCAAGGAGGCTTGCCAGGACACGACTATTCCCGACGCTATCCCAGCCGCAAAGCACACATGAATGCCCAATGTCCATTGTGGTTTGATGGAGTATGTTCCGTGATCCAAGTCTATCTCACCCCACGTCTGTCCCAGAACAGGGCAGCACTAGTAGTCAAGGCTGAGATAAAGCGCCTTTGACGTCACACAAACGCAGCCATACGCCATACGTATTTATATGTCACAATGATTTATGGGCAAACATTAAAGGCAGTTTACTTTTCTCTGGGAAAATCAAATACCATCTACAATTCTTCAATTGCATACCTCCATCCTACTCTCTCTCAGAAACACAGTTCGACTTAATCCCGAACAACAAGATATCTAAATAACATGACTTCCATTGGACAAAAGGTATGCATGCAGTATCGCCAGAGATCGGGCTTACATACCCTCACCTCACCTCACGGTGAGATGCTGGATGTAAAAACACAGCTGACTTCATCTCCCAGGTAACTACCGACCCTGCGTCGAAAGTTCCCATCAACGAGGCGGTCGGTGTCGTAACATCCGACTCTTTGGCAGGCGAGTCCCTTAAGAATCATGGTCACTTTGGTGAAAGCAACCCCAAGGCAGGAGTATTAGACCAGCCTTCTTCATCAACAACCACAAACACGACCGACACCTCAAACGCTGTCAAGCTCAGCGCCGCCGTTAATTCTGAAGCGCGAGATGCTCAGGAAGGATGGAACGAAGAGAAGACCATAAGCTCAGGCAAGGGTCTAGGCGGCACTTCGGGTAGCGCTGGAGGATCATCAAGCACTACGGGTACAGCACCCGTTGCTCTCTCTGGTACATATGTCGAGCCAGGCGTACTTAAGCCTAAGGGTGCCAATTTGACAGAGGACCCTGAACTACACGGAGACCGCAAGTTTGGCGAAATTGGTACAATCAACGATCCCGCTAGGGAAGCAGAGCGCAAACTGCAGGGTGTAAATGCTGCAAACGCCGGTGTTACTGGCAAGACAACCGACATGGCACAGGATGGTGACAGCAAGTTTAGCAACCTTGGAGACACTACTGCTTAAACTTGATCAATGAAGGCATGATGTGGGAGTATGTATGATATTTATCAAGGCAGCATTAAGGCAATGAACAAACATAATGAACTCTGAGAGATGCAAATAATAATGATTGGGGCACATTGTCGTCATGCGGGATGGCGCTAGGGATAAGTTCGCAGCGTGAAGGAAGCACGTGGCGGAGCGATCCTAAACGGGCCTCTTCCGCGGGCACGGACGTCGATCATTGCAGCAGTTCAAGGTGGCCTTTCGCGTCGCATTACCTACTTGTGTCAACGTCGCTCATTAGTTCACCCCACCCTTTACTTTCTTCCCATTTTGATTTTTGCTGAATCGCGACTGGGGCTGCAGTACCCTAGTGTCACGACTGAGCAGCCAGAATGAACGGTTTCGGGGAGCATGGGCATGATGAGGATGCGTTTGGGCCTGCCAAAGGGGGCATCGTGTCAAGTTTTGATGCTTTTCGTAAGTACTACTTTCTATACGGAAGATTGAGAGGACTTGTGCACACAAAGGTTTGGTGAAGGTCAACCATATCACTTGCAATGGTGGTTTGAACTGATGCGACGCTGCTCACTTGTAGACAAGTAACACAACTAACAGATAACCACAGCCAAAACCAAAAAGACATACCTCGTCCAGGGTCGCAATTCCTCGGCCTGGACAGTAACTCTCATCATTACATGCATCTATCTGACCTGGTCCGAAATTGCGCGCTGGTATGCTGGCACAACGACGCAAAGCTTCACCATCGAAAAGGGTGTATCTCACGACATGCAAATAAACCTCGATATAATTGTCGCCATGAAATGTGCTGACCTCCACGTAAACATGCAAGATGCAGCTGGTGATCGCACGCTAGCCGGCGAGCTTCTTCGTAAAGACCCAACCTCATGGTCGCAGTGGACTGGCAAGAACACAGAGAAAGGCACGCACGAGTTGGGCAAGGACGATACAACCCAGATTCCGGAATGGGAAGAGTACGGCGATGTGCACGAGCATTTGGGAAAAGCAACAAAGAAAAAGTTTAGCAAGACACCCAAGCTGCGCGGCCCGACGGACAGTTGCCGAATCTACGGCAATCTCGTGGGAAATAAGGTGCAGGGAGACTTCCACATCACCGCAAGAGGACACGGATACATGGAATTTGGAGAACACCTCGACCATTCATGTAAGAACACACGTTCCAGAACCCTTCAAAAAAAGAACCTCCCCCAGACTAACAACCCCCTCCTCCAGCCTTCAACTTCTCCCACATCATCCGCGAAATGTCATTCGGCCCATACTACCCCTCGCTGACCAACCCCCTCGACTCCACCATCGCCGTCACCCCAACCCCCGCAGACCACTTCTACAAATTCCAATACTACCTCTCTATCGTCCCCACCATCTACACCGACGATCCCTCTCTCATGCCCCTTATGGAATCCGTCGTCTCCACAAACGATCAACCCTCATCCAACATGTTCCGCATGGCGCACGCCATCAAGACAAACCAGTACGCCGTTACCTCGCAGTCGCACAAGGTAGACGACACCTACGTCCCCGGTATCTTTGTCAAATTCGACATTGAGCCCATTATGCTGGCGATTGTCGAGGAGAGCAAGAGCTTCTGGAAGTTGCTTATTACGCTTGTGAATGTTGTTAGTGGTGTCATGGTTGCGGGTAGCTGGGTGTGGCAGATGTTTGATTGGGCGAGCGAGTTCGTGGGTAAGAGGAAACGCAGGGGTGATGGGGTTGGTGTGCTTGGTACGCCGTCTGTGGAGAAGCAGAGCTGGGATTAAGTGAGCGTGTCTTTTTTGCAAGGGGAAGTGTGCAACCAAAGAAAGGAAATGCATTGTTTGGCGTTTATGGAACGGTTTATGACTTTGGTCTTGTACGCATAGAAGTTCGATGTGTCGAGGGTTTTTTTTTTCGTTTCTTTTCTGTCTTTGTTGTGTCTTGTTGTCAAGAGCTGTTATAGGGATTTGCCTGTGTAGTTGTTTCGTGAAAGAGGTGACAGTTTGTCTATGCGATTAAGTAAAGTAGGATCATTTCATCAGCATTGCGCCGTCCCGTCTCTTATTTCAGGATCCATTCTCTTTCCTTCTCCTGCAGATCAACTACATCAACCGAGCTACCCATCCATTTTGCCTCGCGGAACGGCAGAATAACCGCCAGCACTTTCGATTTAACCAAACCCAACGGCAAAGGACCAAACAACCTACTATCCCTACTCCACTCCAGATTGTCCCCTTGCACCCAGCAATGCCCATCAGGCACCCGAATCACTTCCTCCCTTACACTCGCCCACTTCCCATCAGCATCGACGGCCTCAATATCCTCGTCGCTGCGCCCCGGCGTAATAACACTGACAAAATCGCCCGGCATACCAATAACCCGCTTGCAACCATGCTGATTGGGAAACATGGGATGCGTATATGTTATCACATCGCCGACCTGTATGTTCCGGCCTCGACGGTGAAGTGACGAATACAGGATCCAAGGGTGGGAGCGAAAGGAATGCGGGATGGTGGGGACCATGGATATGCCGGTGGTAGATCCCACGCCGCCGATGTACGAGAAGAACACATGGCCGACGACGAAGACTTTGGCGACGAGGAAAGCGCTACCTAAGATGCGGATTTAGTTGCGCATTTTGGGGCACATGGGTGTAATTGTAACGTACGCGTCCATGCCTGTGGGCTTAAGAAGGCGGGTGCTGACTTCTTATGGAAGCGGTGGATGGAAGACCATGGTGGCGGCATTACAAAAGCAAGAGAAAAAAAAGGGGAGGTCTTGAGCTTTAGTATCACTTGGACATCTTCTGATATTGCGGTGCTGGGCTTGTGCGTCCGCTCAATGACGTTGCGGAACTTGTTGTAGTGGGAGCGAGGGAGTGATGTACGAACGACTGTTCGGAATTCCGTCAAGCTACTAGATTATCACCGGCGCTAGAGTACTTAACTCCGCTGGCATCCCACTTCGTGAACTTTTGCGCGGACTCGCATAACTGCAGAAAGATGGTTCAGGTGCAAGATAAAGTTGTGGGCTTGAAGAGCGCTGAACAGGCTAGTCTCAGGTACATAGTGTATGCCCTTTCTTGGTTTGCTCATTTTGCTGATATATCCAGACCTGCACCGACTGGGCTTGAAGGCGAGGGGGTATTGCAAGATGCTGTAAGAGGTGCATTCATTTTCTTCGATGAGTTTTTTATCGAACCTTTGTTTCTTTTCAATATATTGATGCAATGCTTATTATTAATCTGTAGACCTAATAACATCCTACCACGACCTCAACCCCTCCACCATCGATATTCTCCATGAAGAACCATCACCACTCCAGTTCATGCGACATGTCGCGCGCAACCGCCCATTCGTAATCCGCAATGGAGCCTCAACCTTCGCAGCCCGCAAGAAATGGAACGCCCAATACCTCCAAGATGTGATGCGCGGCCAAACCGTAAACGTAGCCATGACACCCCACGGCAATGCTGATTCAGTCGTCGACCTCCCCAGCAGCGGTTCCCTCTTCGTCAAGCCCCACGAAACCGACGAGCCCTTCGAATCCATCTTAGCCAAAATTCAGCGTCAAGAAAACGACAAAACCTACGTCGGCCCAACACACTACGCCCAAACCCAAAACGACAATCTCCGCAACGAATACGCCACCCTCTTCGCCGACGTACCCGACTCCATCCCCTTCGCCCGCATAGCTCTCGAGCAGGACCCGGACGCCATCAACTTCTGGCTCGGAAACTCGCACTCAACCACCGCTCTGCACAAAGATAACTACGAAAACATTTACGTGCAGATTCTCGGTAAAAAGCATTTTGTACTGCTGCCGCCGGTCGAGGCGGCTTGTGTGAATGAGAAGGCTGTGCTGGCGGCTACGTACCGGCCAAAATCTGCGGTATCTGGTGAGGTAGACAAGGGAGAACTTGTGATTGCCGTGGATGAGCCGCAGGAATACGTACCGTTTGCGATGTGGGATCCGGATGAACCACTTGTTAATCCGACGCCTTACTCGGAATATTCGCAGCCTCTGCGGGTGACGTTGGAGGAAGGCGATATGCTGTATTTGCCTGCACTCTGGTACCACAAAGTGAGGCAGAGTTGCAATGAAGAAGGGATTTGTTGTGCTGTGAACTACTGGTACGATCTTGATTTCAGCGGTGGGTTTTGGAGTACTGCGAATTTCGTTAGGAGTACTGGGCTTTTGTCCATGATGGGATAGTAGGGACTAGCAAGGATTTAAGGGGGGAATGATGAATTATACCAACAAACGAAATAAATTCCAATTAAGGGTATCTCTAGTATCTATAGCACCAAGTACAATATCGGCGGCAAACAAGGTCTCCTATGAACGCTCCTACCCTTTCTATTAATGTTTAATCTTAACTTTAATGTCAACATTCCTTGCGCTCTGCCACACACTATCGCTGACTTTGACGGGTAACTTCCGTCCTTTGAGTCGTTGATCAATCAACCATAGCCCCACGACAAACTCGTATCTAGTCAGTCTTCCAATCGCTCGCTCATCGACCAAATCCCATACTTCTTCCAGCACGTGCGTGGGTAAGCGGCTCCTCGTCCAAATCTCTTTGGCCACAAGATTCAGTACATCGGCGGATGGATCATCATCAGGTGGTGCACGAGGCGAAGAAGGTATGAAAAGGCCTTTGTTTGCCGCCCAGACTCCCTCGTACCGCTTTCGCTCTCTTTCAGTGATTTGGTCACGCCATCGCTTTCGATTTCCCTCGTCATGCTTGTTTGGATGTTTCCGCCCTTTGATGCCCATGATTCTTGTGCCCTTCTTTTTGTACTTGTCCACCTTGTTGTCTTCATCGTCTGACGAGGATGGCTCTTTGCGCATTGTGGTACGCAACTTTCCTGTGCTTTTCGGAGGTGAATTCTTCTGCGGAGACGGAGACCGGTGAAACGGCAAGTGGTGGTGGTGGTGTTGCTTGCGTGGTGGGAAGAGCGGCTCAACTGACATGGGGCGAGGCGCGGGGGAAACATTGCGAGACTGTGAAGCTAGAGCTGCGCCCATGATTGCACTTGATAGGGACTCTCCTGTCATGTGCTGGGTGATCTGCTTGACTGATTCGCGTTGGTAGTTATTGTGATACACCGAAGGGGAAGCCGTGCCTGTATTAGATGCTGGCCGGCGAGGTGAGAGATTCTGCACTGGAGATGTTGAACCTGGCGTTCGACTACCTGCACGTGTTTTGATCTGCATGGGTGTTGTCGGTTGAAGCTTTTGGGAAGCCAGCACTGGCTCTGCTTTCCGGGTAGTCGAACGACGAGGTGGAGGTACAGTTGGCTTGAGTTTGACTTCTGCATCCTCTTCTTCTTGTTCCTCTTTTGCGGACTTGAAAGAAGACGGCGTTGAGGGCGGTTTGGAGCTTTCCATGGATGTCGACATTCTCCTTCCCTGCCGTGGAACCGACGTTGATGCGTCCTGGGACTTTGGCCTTGCCTGGCGGGAGCTTTTTCGAGGCGGCGAGATTGCTGTCGTGAGAGCTGCTGATTCTACTGGTTTCTGCTTGACTGAAGGTGACTTCATAGGACCCTTCTTTGGCGTATTGAAATATGCTTTGTCATTCGCACCGTCAGTGAATTGTGGGGGTAGCTGAATCTGGTGCTTTGGCTTTGGCTTGACAGGCGGAGGTGTCTGCGTCCTTTTCCTCTGCAGTGGAGCGGTATCTTCTTCCGGGTCAGGTGGCAGTGAGAAGGTCCGCCGAGGCTTTGGGGACCGAACAGGGGGCGGCGAACTTCGAGCAACGTGTAAAGGCGTAGAGGTCTGGTCGGTCGGCGTTGTAGATCTGCCCTGTTCAAACATCTTTACTAAGGTATTCGTAGGTGGTATGGGAGTATCGTCTGTGGGCTTGTTGGCTAATTCCGGTTGCTGGACACGACCGGCAGCTGAGCGCGACTCAAGACTGTCTCTCCTTTTCTGCTGCTGCGGACCAGGCTTCTTAGGCTCAAGTTTCGCAAGCAGATTGCCCACACTACCAGGTGGAGGTAGTACATCCCTCTCATTTGGCTCTTGTTCGTCCATCGAGGGCGCGGGCTGGAGTTTGGGTTTGGGCATGGGCTTCAGAGGGCTGTGCCGGGCAGCGGCCAGCCGTGCCGCGATGTTGGATGGAGATGGTACACGGTCAAGGTGATCGCCGGGAATGCTCAACGACGTAGGATTCGCCGGGTTGGAAGTGATTGGTCTGCTGACGCCTAGAGATCCGCCGGTATGGTCTCGTTGTAAGGATACAGGGCTGCCTGTTCCAACTCGCGTGGCTGCTAGCCAGGCTCCATTGTCTCCTCCGGTATATGTGTTGGCGACAGGCTTCGGCTTCACAGGGGGTTTGGAGAAGGCTTTCGAGGCGCCCTGCAATGCAGCGTTGCGTACGTTGTGCTGCACATCCCCGGCTGACTGCGGGACCCAGCCCTGATTGCGTGTAGAGCTCATCTATGCTCCATCGGGTTGGTCAGCAATAATGACGTACACAAAGGGATTCCAAGACTATCGCTTCGGGATGGACAGTAGCGCTACGCAGCATACATATGTACATGGAAGGAAGAGAGGAAGAGAGCAAGAGAGACAGTGCTGAAAACGAACAGTGGAGTCGCAATTCTAATGTTCCAAGATTAGCACTGTCAGCCTCATGACAGCCCCCGTTTATCCACCTTTGCATGGGTGATGTCCTGGGTAACATGCTAACCGCTTTCATACCTAAGAGCCACGTGATCACGCGCGACGCTAAACACGGCCTTCCAGGCATCCACGACGCGGTGTTCAAATACCAACGACGGCCCACGGCGTGGTGCTCCTCATCAATGCACTCGAAATGGCAGAAGATACACCAATGCCGGATGCCGACGCCGTACGTGAGAACACCCTCATGTATGGCCATGATGGCGACCTTGATGAGAAATACCCAATGCGGCCGTTGAATTTACACAGGACACTGCCGTTTCACACATTGTTCACCGATCTTTTCAATCCGCTCATGGACACGCAAAAAAAGAAGCAACCCATCGGCCCCCGGCGCAAGGTGGGGCCACACGGCCGCGGCAACCTAACGCCTCATGAAGCCAAGCGGAATATCGTCGAGCGCTTTATTGCGAATTGGCGGAAGCAGGTGGGGAATGACTTCTATCCTGCAATGCGCCTCATTATTCCCGAGAAAGACCGAGACCGGGCCATGTACGGCCTAAAAGAGAAGGCAATAGCAAAGGTCTTGATCAAGCTCACTAGAATTGGCAAGGATTCAGATGATGCAAAGCACATGCTCAACTGGAAATTGCCTAGTCAGATGCAAAAAGCATCGGCTTGGACTGCTGGTGACTTTGCCGGACGGTGTTATGAGATTCTGTCGTCACGGCAACTCAAGACAGAGTACAGCGACATGAGTATTGCAGAAGTCAACAATGCTCTCGACAAACTATCACAGGTCGGTACCGAAGAAGAGCAAGTCAAAATTTTCCAGAGGTTTTACCGGAGGATGAATGCAGAGGAAATGACATGGCTGATTCGGATGATTCTTCGTCAAATGAAGATTGGCGCGACGGAGAAGACCTTGCTTGATATCTGGCATCCAGATGCAGAAACGCTATTCAACGTGTCATCAAATCTTCGGCGTGTTTGCTGGGAGCTTTTTGACCACAAAATACGTCTTGAGGGCGAGAATACAGGCCTTAGTCTCATGCAATGCTTCCAACCGCAACTAGCTCAATTTCAGGACAAAGTAGGCTCGTTCCAGAAGATGGTGACAAGGTTCAAGGGAGACTCAGATGACGATACATTCTGGATCGAGGAAAAACTCGATGGCGAACGCATGCAATTACACATGGTAGAGGACCCAGACGCACCAGGTGGAAAATCGTTTGGCTTCTGGTCGCGAAAGGCGAAAGACTACACTTATCTCTATGGAAAACATTTTCACGGCGACGAAGCCGGAGCACTCACGCGGTTCGTAACAGACGCATTTGGGAAGAACGTGAGGAACATTATCCTCGACGGCGAAATGGTTACTTGGGACATGGAAACTGATCACATTGTCGGTTTTGGTACTCTCAAGACGGCAGCAATATCCGAGAAGGAGAACAAAACAAACCAAGAGACTGGCCAGCGACCGCTGTTTCGAGTGTTTGATTGTATGTACCTGAACGATACGTTGCTCACCCAGTATACGCTTCGTGATCGCCGTCGTGCTCTAGAAAGCGCTGTCAAAGGTGTACATCGCAGATTAGAAGTTCATCCATACATTGAGGCGCGTTCGCATACTGAGATCGAGCCAGCGCTGCGAAAGGTGGTTGCTGAAGCATCCGAGGGCTTGGTGTTAAAGAACCCTCGCTCGATGTACTGCTTGAATCAACGAAACAACGATTGGATGAAGGTGAAGCCGGAGTACATGTCCGAATTTGGAGAGTCTCTTGACTGCATTGTTGTTGGAGGGTACTTTGGCTCTGGTCGTCGCGGCGGTGCCCACTCGTCTTTCCTTTGTGCACTACTTACGAACAAGAGCGCAAAGCCAGGAGACCTCAAACACGAACATTGTTGGTCATTCTTCAAGGTTGGCGGTGGATTCAGCTCGGACGACTACGCTGCTTTACGAGGACGAACGCAAGGGAAATGGCATGATTGGGATCCTCGGCGTCCACCACCATTCATCGAACTAGGTGGCCACGAGCAGAATCGGCAACACGAGAGACCGGACCAATGGATTAGACCAAGTGACTCTGTCGTGTTGGAGTGCAAAGCCTCCAGCGTCGAGAGCAGTGATAAGTTCCGCTTTGCATTGACACTCCGCTTTCCACGCTTTAAGCAGCTCAGGACAGACAAACGATGGGACCAGGCGCTTTCCGTGCAGGAATTCCTCGAAGTCAAAACCAAAATAGAGACTGAGAAATCTGAGAAGGAAAAGGAATTCAAGATCGAACAGTCACGACGGAAGAAGGCGCGTACATCGAAGAAGCCGCTGGCGGTGATGGGTAACGATACGGTGACGACACCTTATGCAGGCCCAGAGTCTAAAATCTTCGATGGACTCAGCTTTTATGTCATGACTGAGCAGACGTATCCAGTAAAGAAATCCAAAGCTGACCTGGAGGCGCTCATCAAAGCCAACGGTGGCAAGCTTGTACAACGCGACTCTACAAACAAGAATCTTATCATCATTGCTGATAAACGGCTGATCAAAGTTGCGTCGCTGGAGAAGCGAGCTACAAATAACATCGTCAAGCCGGTCTGGATCCAAGACTGTATTACGCAAAATGAAGCAGACACTGGCGCATTGCCCTACCTACTTCCCTTTGAACCAAACAGGCACATGTTCTACCTCCACGATGATGATCAATTCGAATTTGAGAGCAATGTAGACGGGAATGGCGATTCTTACGCACGCGACATTACGGACGTGGAAGAAATGAGGAAATTGCTGGATGGGATGGCGAAACCCGAAAGTCCAGCTACGTTCCAGCAACATGACTTTTTGAAACAGCTGGAAGACCATGACAAGCCTTTGGAGCAGCTGAAGACTCATATATTTCACTCTGTCAAAGCCGTATTCTCATATGGTGGAGATAACAAAGAATGGTCTCTGAGGGCGCAGCTGGCGAAGAACTATCTCCGTTTTGGAGACGGGCTGATTGCTGATGATGAGGACGAAGGAGTCACGCACATCATTGTGCCAGACGAAAGATCTTTGTCAAAGAGAGGGAATCCGAGAATCTCTGGACTTGCTCGAATAGTTGGTATAGGATGGGTGGAAAAGTGCTGGAAAGAAGGCACAAGGTTGGATGAAGAGAGATTTCAATGGGGTTAGAGCGTTAGAACTCCATCCCCTTCCACATTTCTCGACGATAATGATCATGATGCCATGAACGGCTCTGCCTTCCTAAAATGTGCTTCCCTTCAACAATCTCCTCCGCCAGTCCCTCTCCCTCATCCCACTCTCTCCAGTATCCACCCGCGTTATCCTAAGCTCCCCACTCGGTACTATCAATGCACCTCCGCTCTGCTTCAAACGCTTCCGCAAGCAGTTCTCCTCTAGGTATTCCGCCTCAGTACCGAGCTCCTGCCTGATCGCAGCCGAGTAATCCATAATGCTGCGCAGTAGCCCCGGTCTCCGCCCACTCTTGTACATTCTCGAGCTCAGCCGTGTATCGAGCCACATGCCTATCATGATGCACGTCCAGATGAAGTTGAATATGGAAACCATAAAGAGAAAGATGTATGAGAAGCCCCACTGGTATGTCTCGCTCGGTTGACAGGAGCCGTGCTCAAGCAAGTATGACGTGTTGTATGTGTCTGTGGGAAGACTCTCAAAAGCAACTAGCGCTTGTCCAAACCATTTTGGGGGTATTATCTTATCGGGGTAGATCCGTAAGGTTGTAATTCTGAGGCTTGGGGAAGGGAGCTCTTTAGGTGTCGTCATCTCTCCTATTATCCATTTTGAAGGCTCATCAATGCTTAGCTCGGAGTAAGTTAAACCGTTTACAGTTGTTCCGGGGGTTCTTCCTGTATAAGGATCGAACTGGTCTATGTCTGAGTAGAGGTTAGCCATCTATTGACGAGTGTCTACGTCCGACATACAAAGTCTGATCGCGTTTCTGAATTCCGTATCGGTTTCTGTGATTATCAATGTTCTGTCGTAGCCCAGTCGATATGCATCGTGAATGATATCCGTCACTCGTGTTATTTTACTCCACTCGATGAGGTTGTGCTCGCGGTCCTCCACAAACAGCTCGTATGTAGTGATGTAACCAGTCATGGCAGCCATCAAAGTCGGAAACGATAGCACGTACAAATTGGATAGCAACATGGACAGTATTGCAAGCCACCTGAAGAACTGACGCCGTGTTCTTTTGCCAAACGCCAGAAACTCTTTCGCCAACACACCAAGTGTACCCATAGTCGTCGTTTCGAAGGCAACAGCCGCATAGAATTTATAAGATGTGAAATGCATCTCCATGTGATACACCAGCCACTCGTTAAAGACGCGATAGTTGACCCAACCTAGTAGCAGCTGTCCCCCTCTTCCGACAATGACGTCCCAAGCAACATCGATGACTTTTACCTGGGTGAAGGTGAAGGCTCCAAAACTGAGGTTTGGTGTGAAAAAGTACGAGGAATCCATGATGCGCCATGTCGCACCAGGCTTTTCTTTCCAAAGACCATTGGGATAGCAGTCCCGGCCCATGATGTAGCTCTGTGATGCCATTTCCGCGGCGGCAGCGAGGACGACAATGATGGCGAGCGCAACAAGGGCCGCAAGAGCAACCAAAGTTACTTTCCAAGGAGAAGACGACCAAATTTCTCTCAACCCGGCTTTACGAGTCTCCGTCTTGGGCTGCAGTATATCGGATCCGGTGCCATTGTCGAGGCGCTGCATTTCCATGGTTTCCGCGCGTCTACTCTGCTCTTCAGCCGCATTCTGGGAGGTGATAGAGATGTACGCTGATGGCCTCATATTGGAACAAGCAATAACATGTGACACACATCAAGAGTAAGAGACATGTGCACGTGTGTGTCCGGAACCATAGTTTCAGAGACGGTACGACAATTCGACGTGCGCTGGGTTTAGGCGTCCAAGATCGTGGTACCTATGAACCTGGAGGCTACACGGCCAAGCGAGGCGCAGCAGTGTGAGCATTGCAGATTGGGGGCTGGAAGATGGCCGTGACGACCAAAAATACGTTGGGGCACTGGAGCTGGTACTTTTTGATTTATCATGCTTAAGGTGGGCTATGAAATGGGAATAGCATCTGTATATTCTACTATTCAGTGGGGGTACAGGGGTAGTTCTATAATACGAAGTACGTACTAATAGTAGTATGCCGCTACGCGCGCATCATAAATATGGGGGAAATCAGACAGCGCTGGGATTCACAACGGGATGTTCGTCCTCCAGGCCTCGCAGCTCGCAACCTACTCGACCGCAAAAACAACCCATCTTATCTTGCAGCAATGAGGCAGTTCGGGGGTACGAGCCAGGTCGGGCAGGTTAGTTCATGCTAGCGCCACACACCCCGCACATCCCGCTTCCAACCAGGGTACAGCAACGGAGTAAGCTACAATGGGCAATGTTTATATTGTCTTTGATGGATTTGATTCGTTGCATGTGTAATGAATTCCGTCGGACCAGAATGCACAAGGTTCGCGATCCAGCATGTGAGCGAAAATCGAGCGGGGATTTACGTAGCAATAATGTCTCCTGAGCTGCTGGACCCTTTGACCCTTACTCCAGCAGGGTGGAGAGAGGAGAACAACTGAATCACCCTGCTCACCACCAGCAGTAAATGTGTATCCCTCCAGCATGCCTGTTTCTGAAATGACAGCCCTCTGGAACCTGCGAATAGCCCTGCTCACAGGACTGGCCATCACTCTCCTGGGCGCATTCTACATCTACCAATCGCCATCGCCTCTGGATTTCACCCAACCGCACCGCACATTACGCAACGGCCTACCTGGACTCGAATTATCGCTCAGCCAGAAATCTCGGAACCCGCCTACTCTCCTTGTGACAGTGGAGAATAACCACTCGGACACAACGTACACGGTACTTAAATGGAACACGCCTCTGGATCCGTACGCACTCGACGCGGGCGTCTTCAACATTGTAGACGGAACAAGCCACCGCGAGATAGAACAGGCTATAGTACACATTACCCGCAAGATGCCACCGCCTCCAAACCAGTTGTTGACGTTGGCGCCCGGCATGCGAGAAGAGGTTGAGATAGTGTTTGATAGGCCGTGGATGCCACAGCGTAGGCCAGCGATATACAGGGTCAGTGCTAATGGTGCATTCAAGGGAGCATGGACAAAGCATCGAGACGAGTTGACGAAAGAAGAGTTGTACGCTTTCGCGGCGAGTCCGTTTAGTGAACGGAGGTTCGCAACGAATGAAGTTATTGTGGAAATTTAATGGTAATGCACATGTAATGAGATACGAGGGAGTAAACGCATATACGACATCAAAATGAATAATGAAGCATCATCAGTGTAGCTTTGCCCATTCTTCACAGTTCGTCCCTGTGCCATATATCTCTCCTCAACCTTCCACATCTCCACCCATTTCAATCTTCACTCCGCGCGCTTCCCGCCTTCATCTCTCTACAGACCTCCATGTGCCCTGATATCCAACCAACATACTCTCTATCACAACATCCTATATGATGTGAATGCCTGCCAGACATACTAAACCACCGCCCTTCACATCAGCAAACAGCGAACCTTCAAGCTTTTAGCGCAAAACGTACCTTTCTCGACTTCTCTAACCGCTCCCACAGTGAACTGCGCGAGGCCTTCGTCACCACACTTTTCATCGACTCTCTCGATATTGTACGTTTCATTTTTCTTTTTCAAAAAATTTCCCGGAGATACTATTTTCTTTTCAAAAGAGCCAAAAAAGACTTGTGGGGTGGAACACAAAGTAGAGTAGCAGCACACACACACACCGGCAGTTGGAAATGCTTCCGATGTTTTTTTTGGAGGAAAGAAAGCTTTGGTGAAGGATATTTAATTCTGGAAATTGACACGGCAGACGAACTTGGATATCCGCAAGTATATTCAGATTCGAGATTTGATCAGCGGAATAAAGTTAATTAGATGTGGAAGCTTACACGGGTGAGAACTGTGATTAAGGTTTTTTTTTGCTGACAGGAAAATCGGGGAAAGGGGGAGAAATTATCTTATTGCTGGTCTTATTGTTGGGGTAGGTCTTTGGAGGTAAACCGTCTTTACGAGGATGGACATGTGTGTTTTTGTTGAATGTGCAATCTGTAGATACAAATGGCTTTTGCTGTGAGAGTAAGAATAGGTTCTAAGTATACAAAAGGGTGTATCAAAGACGATAGAGGTAATAAGAGAGCTGCAATTAGTATGGATTTGATTATTCAGGGAAGGTGTACCTGCGACATGGGTAGTAGCAGCGGCGTTACTGTAGAGGTTGGAGTTGTAACAGTGTGGCTACAGGCTCATCCTTCTTTTCGCAGTGCGTAGCACTTTGGACTACATATCATGTTTACTACTTATCCAGACTAGTTGGTAGACTTGGGGGTAATAGGCAAGTGCTAGCCTCAATGTCCGCCTCGCACTTGGAGCTAGTCCGGAGACTGGCTTTTGTTTTTATGTGTAGTAGGCGGAACATTAAACTCTGCTACACGGATAGATTAAGAGAAAGTATGGATCAAACACCTTCACATGAAAACATCATTTCAAGTGCTGGTATGGTGATCCCGTTACGGTAACCGGAGCTAATCAAAAGCCAACAACCGTTACATAGCGCCATTGCCGCAACTCCTGGTCATGTGACATACTGGCCCAATCATGTGCATTTATTGCTTGTCGTGTACCTGTCTTTCGTTGTTCACCTCCTCAGACTGTCCAACCGAGCCTGGAGATCATCGTCGTCGGGGTCAGCGCCTCCACCTCCCACGGCCTGTGCCACCCTAGTTTCAGGCACTGTGTTCTTTTGCAGGCCACTGGGTGTTTCGCCAAGCTGTCACTTGTTAGCAAATGCGCTTTTAAACATGACATTCGACTTACAGCCTGCCCTAGATCAATGCCTATCTCGTCCAAAACTTGGTTAACTACGTCCTCGCTCTCCTCTTCGTCTTCCATGCCCGTGGCATCGTCGATGGCGTCATCCATCATTTCCTGTCGTTGATCCATGATGTCATTCTCTTTTTCGAATTCCATGGCGATACGCTGAAGCGCAGGGAGGTTCATCTGCCTGTTCATGCTTCCAAGCAGGGCTGCGAATGTTAGAATTGCGGTGGCCACATTGGAACATAGACTTACTCGTGGCGCCCTTCATAGACTGCATCATCTGCTCATTGCTGCGAACCGTCTGCCTGCGGTCAGCCACATAGCCCCAATCTAGTTCATCATGCGCATATTTACCTGAATCCTCAAAGAGATCGCCTGCAGTTGTGTGCGCATCTGGTAGAACTTTTGAATGTAACTAGGGCGAGTGTCAGTCCCAAGCCAGCACTGCGACAGGCAGCAGGCCAGCATACCGTCGTGTCCGCACCAGGTCCTTTGCCTGTATCCGCAATGGGCCCATCTGGCCATTTTTGGCGCTCTTCTTAATGTCTGCAACCAGCTTCTTTTCCTGGTTCTCGAGCTTCACGCGCTCACGGTCTAGCTCTCGTTGCGTCTTCTCGAGTGCACGCTGGTGTTTGCGCAGCCGCTCCGCCGGCGTCATGCGCTTTCCGAAGGCCCATTCTACGATCTGAGAGATATGTCAGCTGAGGCTGTAGTGAAAACCAGGCAATACTCACATTCATGGCGGCGACGGGTGCGAAGTGGAGAAGGGCCGTGGGACGGCGTAGACTTGGGGTGGGAGATTAGCGGGTAGGGCCTAACCGCTACCTGTCGCTGTCAAGGATATGATGTAGGCAGGTAGATTGGCAAAGATGGCGGTGAAGTAGCCCACCTGCAACCATCCGGGCTCCCAGGAATTTGTCACACGTGGGTTATCTTGTTGGATTGTGGTAGGTATTTGGTGTTCTGCCTGCCTGGTCGAGGAGCCGTTGGATCGTCAAGCAGGTCGGCACGTAGGTATGTAGGGTCCTGCGATGCCGAGCCTTTGTCAAGTTATCACACTTGCATTGTCGGGCTTTCACTAGTCAACGTATTTCTATAATGAAGGCTCGCCGTCTCCTCCTCTAGGCCACTCCCTTGCCATTCGCTCATATGCAAGACGCTGTATCGCAATGTCAGCCGGGCGGTCGCGTAGGAAGTGGGTGACAGCCAATCCCTGCGTACAATCTTGGTGGCGTGTGCACCACCAACTCTGACGTTCCCTCGCTGCATATTCTTTTCCTTCGTCCGCCGCCTCCCTCGTCCACGACACCATCTTCCCATATCCAACACGACATGCGCCCCTCCTTGTAGCCTAAACACAACACCTAACCTCCCCGATGAATCCCAACCGACGCAACAACCGCCGCCCCTCCACGCCGGGAGAGTCCTCCAGCAGCCGCCAAGGCTCTTCCGACGGCTTTGTCCCGCGCCGAAATGCAGGACCTGGATACATGACCGTCGGTGGCGGTAGCACAACCAGCGATGCCGCTGCCCGCCTGGTGTCTATGCTGGACGAAGACTCTGGCTATGGCGGCAGTGTACAGGATGGCGAAGGCTCTGGCATGAATTGGCGCTCCAACATTGGCGAAGACCGCCCCTCGCCTGTACCCATACTGTCCGCGGGCTCATCAAATGCTGAGCACGAGAAGCAGCGCAGCCATGTCCTTCAACTACGATACAACCAGAACAAAAATGCCCTCGGCCGCGCTATCCACGGCACAATCGAGGCCTTGAAAAGTTTCCAAGAAATGAATTTGAAATGGCCCGCACACTACCCTTCTATTCAAGCAGCAGAGAAGCAAAAATCACATCTTCGCAGCGACTCGCGGCCCGGACTACACCACACCCAGTCCGCAATGGGCGACTTCGATCCCGCTTCCCGCTCGCCCGAACGACCCCGCGGACCACGACGAGCCGGTACCACGATCGGAGACGACGCCGAGTCCAGTTCAGCCGTCGAACACAAGCGAAAGGACGAGCCTCGACTAGTGACACCTCAACTCGCCCATGATTTCTCGGTGCTGAAGTTAGAATTGCGCATGGGCAGTCGGACACAGACAGATTTGGTCCATTCGCTCGAAAAGAACTCCGTCGCCTCTCTCCTAGACGGTCAGATCCAGCAAAGTATACGCCACCTGTTTGCCCTCAAGGAGCGCATTGAAGACACCTCAAGCAAGGTCCTGGTGACCGGAGATCTGAATGCTGGAAAGTCTACATTCTGTAACGCCCTGCTCCGTCGCAAGGTTCTTCCCGAAGACCAACAGCCTTGCACAAGCATATTCTGTGAGGTCCTTGACTTTAGAGAGAATGGTGGGGTTGAGGAAGTTCATGCCATCCCTATTGGATCGACTTACAACCGCAACGACGAGAGCACATACATTGTCTTTGACTTGAAGGACCTTGAAAAGATTGTAATCGACAACGATCATTTCTCACAATGCAAGATTTACGTCAAAGATATCCGCGATGTGGACGAATCTCTGCTAAATAATGGCGTGGTTGACATTGCCCTTATTGATGCACCGGGACTCAATGCCGATTCCATTAAGACCACGGCTGTTTTCGCCCGCCAAGAAGAGATTGATGTTGTCGTCTTTGTCGTTTCAGCCGCCAACCACTTTACGGAATCTGCGAAAAATTTCATCTTCACAGCAGCCCGCGAGAAAGCTTACATGTTTATGGTGGTGAACGGCTTCGATACGATCAGGGATCAGAGGCGCTGCCAGGAAATGATTTTGAAGCAGGTCAACAGCCTCAGCCCAGCAACCTTCAAGGAATCCAGCGAACTGGTGCACTTTGTTTCGAGTAATGCAATTCCCATGGGTGCAGGCGGAAGTCCTCCAGATGACGACGATGACGACCCATCGGGCAAGGGTAAGGGCAAGGAAGCAGAAAAGCAACGGGATTTTGCCGATCTCGAGGCCTCACTACGACGTTTTGTCCTGGAGAAGAGGGCTAGGTCAAAGCTAGCGCCGGCAAAGACTTATCTACTCAACGTATTAGGGGACATGCACAACTTGGCAACTATCAATCGCGATGTTTCCCAGAACGAACTAGACCGTATCAAGAAGGAGATTGAGGCGCTCGAGCCAGAGTTTGAAGAATCCAAGAAATCTCGAACAGAAGCTGGAGAAGCAGTAGACCGTATGGTGGAGGACACGACCTCGGAAGTCTACGGCTACACTCGCGACACTCTCAACGATTGCATTGCTAAGGTGGCCGAGCTGGACTTGGGCATCGAATACCCAGGACTCTTTTCAGCCTACCAATATGCCGAAGACATTCGCGATTCCATGTTGCACGAGGTCACCGAAAGCGTTCGCCTATGTGAAGAGTATGCGCGGAACCAGGCTGTGCAGGGATACAATGGCATCAAGAACCTAGGTGTCTTGCATCTCGGCAACAACCTGTATGCAGATGTCATGTTCCGCCCAGAGCGAATGTTTAGGAAGTCTGTGCACGCTCTGGCTAGACAAGTCGACATTGACATTGACTTGTGGGACTTTTTTGACGTCGCAAGTCTCTGGGAGCGACAAGAGAAGGCCGCAGGTGCTGGTATGGCTATGACAGTTGCAGGTCTAGTAGGAGGCAGACTAGTTGGTGGTGTTGGCTGGGTGGATGGCGCTCTCGGTGCTGCCAAGATCATGGGCACGGCCAATATGAGGAGACTACTGATCCCAGGTCTCGTCGCTGGTGGTGAGTCATGCCGCACATGCATGTTCTGATCTATACTAACATTTGCAGTTGCTCTCGGAATATCCTATGTTCTTGCATCAGTCCCCAAGTCGCTTCCTCATCGACTCAGCGCTAAGCTGTCTCAGCAGCTGACGGCAATCGACTACACCCACTCAAATGCTCTTCGCATAAGCTCCGAGGTCCGACGTGCACTAAAAGGTCCCGCCAACGATGTTCGGATTGGTCTGCAGAGGAACGTTGAAAAGCTTCAGCTTCAAAAGGAGGAGACGACCAAGATCAAGGCTGAGACCGAAGTAGCTCGCAAATACTTTGGCAACCTGGTCCGCAGTAGTAACGATTTGCGCCAGACAGTGCAGCGAGTTGACCTTGAGGCTGCAGCACCTGTTATTGCTGGTCCGATGCAGTAGGTTAATCAATTCATGTCGTTATGTCCCTTGGAAGATTTATGGATCACGCGAGCAAAGCAAGATGCTTTTGAGCATGAAGGCGTTTGAAGGTGTTTAGTGCAGGCTATGATGAAGGCATAGCCGTTTTCCTGTGTACATACAAATAACCAATACCCCTCTTGCCCCGTTGAATGACATTTTTAGAATTGCACTTTGAATGTTTGTATATGTGGTTTGCTGAGAGTGATGCCAAGCGGAGGTGCGGAGCCCCGAACGTCTGTCGTCATGCTAGACTCGAACATGAACGCCTAGCCAACGTCGCCGCCCACCTCAACATCCAACATCTGCCACTTGATGGCGCCTCACACATCGTCAAAACCGCGGCGATGGAAGTAAGAAGAGACCCGCGGTCTTTTCTTTTCTTCATAATTCTCCTGCTGCTCATCAACTCGCCTGAACCGCAGCAGCCCACGTTCAATGCGCGCACGCGATTCCGGGAACTCATTGATCGCGAATATTATCAGCTAGACCTGTTGAATCGAACGCGATACGGCGATTTTGATGCGAAGAATAACAAGTGGTTGAACATCAGTGGGCTGCGAGAAGAAGATGGCTTTGCATGGGAACTGCTGGACCCTGTGAGGCAGAAGGCCAAGGCGCAGTCGGAGCAGATACTCAGAGAACCATGGAAGAAGATGCTGGATGGACCGCTCGAACAGGGAGAGCCTACAATGCCCGTATACAAGAACCTTTCTGGTTACGTGCAAGGCGAATGGACACGCTCGACCCTCAGTCGCATCCGACACCCTGGCGATATGGGCAACGCCTCGTCAAATCCAGACAACCCGTTTGGGAACATAGTTGACTTTGACCGGAACATGACGGGAGCAGGGGGACCGGTACGGCTGCATATCACGGAGCTCGAAGACAAGATGCGGAGAAACGAGAACCAAACCATATCGGAGATTAGCGCAAAAGTAATCATCGGTGACAGGGACAGCTTTGGGGGCAATTGGTGGGAGTTTGTAGTTCATGGCGTCCACTTCCTGAAGAGCGGCACTGCTGTGTTGACTACGACCAGCGATCGATTTGCAGGAATCTTCGCCCTGCCCCATATGCAGATTTCGCCGTATCTGTATGCCACGTCGCAGGAATTTCTCAACTGGACCATACACGAAGCGATTGAGCGGCAAGAGAAACGTACATTTATCTTGTGGAACCCGTGGACATCGGCGGTAGATGGAGCCAACGAAGGCTTGTTCCAGGGTCGTCATTGCGAGTTTGTGTTTTATCTTCAAGCGTTTCCGAGCCCGTATAACATCGACATGGACTGGTTGGAGCATGAGCTACGATATCCCACGGGAGCTCCAATTCCGCGGCAAATATCACACACTTTGTCTATGGTGGGCTTCTCTCCGGACTGTGGGCTGGTGATTGAGTCAAAGGGTCCTCCAGATTTTCCGCCATCTGAAGCGATGCACTTGGTGGGTTCGAAAACGGAGATCTTCAATTCGCGGGCCAGACAGAGCGTCATTGCATTTGCCATTAGTTTGGCGTTCCAGCTCTGGTTTACCATGAAGCAGATGAAGGAGACTGCAACACCATCGATGCGTAGCAGAGTCAGCTTCTATACCATTGCCATGATGGCTGTGGGTGATGGGTTCACTTTCTTAATTCTGATCTTTATGTATCTTTTCCTGGGCACAGCACAGCTGCCACTTTACAGCATAGCATTCATAGCGCTCTTTTCAGTGCTCACGCATCTCCGGTTCCTGATGGATATCTGGTCTGTTCAGGCCGCAGAGAGAGCCCGTCAAGAGCGGCAACAGGCATCAGCAGCTGCGAATTCAACACCGCCAACGGCATCTCGTGCCGCCACACCAGCAGCGCCCCCTGAAGGGGGATTGCCATTACCGGCCACTGCAGCGCGACCGCGACCACCTACGCCCATTATCATTGCACCAGATCAAGACGATCCTGACGAGGATGTTGACACTGGTGCAAACAACAACACAACTACTACCAATGCGAATGCGAATCCCAGAGCCGAGCTAGGCACACTATACAGTCGCTTCTGTCTAATGCTGATAGTGCTCTTCTTTGTCACTATCCAGTTTGCCGCGGCGCGCACGACGTACCGTATCATCTACTTTGACGTTGTTTCATTCGTGTACCTTTCCTTTTGGGTACCACAAATTTATCGAAACACGATGCGGAACTGTCGACGAGCACTGCGGTGGGACTACGTAGTGGGGATTAGTGTTGCTCGGATTGCGCCCGTCAGTTATTTCTATATGAAGGATGATAATGTGCTGTTTGCGCAGACAGACTGGAGAGCCATGGGAGTGTTGGTGGGCTGGGTGTGGATGCAGGTGGTGATGTTGGTCAGCCAGGAGATGCTCGGTCCAAGATTCTTTGTCCGAGACGGATGGGCCCCGCCGGCATACGACTACCATCCGATCCTCCGTGAGGATGAGGAAGGTGCGACGATGCCGCTGAATATGACGACGTCGAGCGAGCCTGCGACGGTGTTGGATGCATCGTCGTCTGGGGCTGGTGCAGAGGGAGAGTCGACCAAGGCATCGGGCGAGTCGAGGTCCAAGGGCAAGAAAGTGTTCGACTGCAGTATCTGCGCTAACGATATTGAAGTGCCAGTGGTACCCGCAGGGGCAGATGAGAACAGTGCGACGGGCACGAGCATGTTGCTGCAACGACGGCAGTACATGGTGACGCCGTGTCGGCACATCTTCCACACTGACTGTCTCGAAGGGTGGATGCGGTACCGGCTCATGTGCCCCAACTGCAGAGAGAGTCTGCCGCCTCTATAGTGTGAGAAATGAAGACATGTTTATTCACATATGCATGTATTGTGTGTAGCGTGTCATTTACAAGAGGGATGCGTAATATAGTCACGTGGTGCCGTTCTTTGTCAAAGTCCGCGTAAACAAGTGGGCTTGCACATCGTCATTAGCGACGTCGTCATGATCGGGTTGATGCACCTGCACTGCCAAAAATACCGGCACATGTACCTTTGCCGCAAGTAAGTGAGAAGCAAGCCATGCTGTTGCAGCAGGGACATGGCCATGGTTCTGTTGACAAGATTGCGGCGGCTGTGTCCGGCATGCACTGAGTTTGGCATGCCTGATGGGGCGTTTGTTATTCTTAGCCCCGGGACGCCACACTTAGCCGCCCCGATGCGATGAGTGACTGGGGCTACCAAGATCCCTGAAGGCCGCCACGCGAACCCTGGCCTTTGCTGCGCATACGCAACCCTCGACCTCTCCTTCACACCACCCTCGTTTACCACTGCACGTCCGCTGCGCCAATTTCTTAGCATACGACAGCTGTGCCACTCTCTCCGAAACCTTACTTCCTGCCTCATCTCCTTGGTCGTCTCTCCTTGGAACCCCCCCAAGACAACTCTGCTCGACATCCGTCTGTCTACACAATCCTTCTCCGCTGCCGCCTCGGCTCCAGCTGCACCACGCCTGTGCCCTTTGACCCCGCAGCTTATTGTCGTACATGCTACACACATAACCAACGTCGCATTCACCGCCTGCGCCTATACAAGAGACTCGACTCCCATCGAGACGCACATCTCGTTGTGCCGCTTGTCCCGTTGTTTCATCGCGGCTTTTAAAACCGCCCCGGCGCCTGATCACCATGGCCGCCAACGACTACTACAACAATAACAACAACCACAACCCCAACCTCTATGGCCAGCCACCAGACAGAAACGATGCGCCTCTGCCTGCACTGCCTGGAAACCACACACAAACCCCAGTCTCGCCCGTCAGCTCGCCCTTTGACGACCGGCCGCATCCCGTGCATACACACAGCAGCGGAGCCATGAGTGGCATGCCAATTGATACCACGTACTCAAACACCTCATACCAACCGCCCACTCAGTATAGCTCCACCGCACATATCAATGATCCGCACACGCGGCAGCCAGACCCGTTTGCAGACCAAAATGCAATACCCTTGCAGAATCAAAACAGGAGGAATGATGGTAGCCCTGTACGATACGACAACGATCCAGAGTTTTATGGCATGGGAGTAGAACCGAGGAGAAAGAGCAGTAGAAAGAAGAAGAAGAAGAAGGGCTTGTTCAATGGAGGAGTCACATGGGTCGTATACATTCTTACGGCGGTGCAGGTTGGCGTATTTATTGGAGAACTGATCAAAAACGGTGCGTATCTACGGTGGCTTCGAGGCTGGTCTATGTACTAACAACAAATTCAGGCATGCTAACCGGCTCTCCCATCCAAACCAAGCCAACCTTCAATATTATGATTGGCCCTTCGCCCTACGTTCTCATCAACATGGGTGCTCGCTTCACGCCCTGTATGCACAACATCAAGCAGGTAATTGAGGCCAACCCTCCAGTTCTCGAATGGCCATGTCCCAACACCACCGTCATCACTCCAAACACACCGCAATGCACCTTGGCCGAGCTCTGTGGCATGGGCGGCGGCGTTCCTGACCAGAGCGGCGTAACCAACTTCAAAGACCGAAGCCACGAGCCCAACCAATGGTGGCGCTTCATCACCCCGATGTTCCTACACGCAGGAGTCATCCACATTGGCTTCAACATGCTACTGCAATGGACCCTCGGTCGCGACATGGAAAAGGAGATCGGCCCCTTGCGCTTCGCTCTCGTCTACTTTTCCGCCGGCATCTTCGGCTTCGTTCTCGGCGGCAACTACGCACCCGACGGCATTACATCGGTCGGCTGCTCCGGTTCTCTCTTCGGTATCCTCGCCCTCACGTTGTTGGACCTCTTGTACAATTGGTCTACACGTCGTAGCCCGGTCAAAGATCTGATCTTCATCCTCCTCGACATGGCCATTGCGTTTGTCATCGGTCTCTTGCCCGGCCTTGACAATTTCTCGCATATCGGCGGATTCCTCATGGGTCTCGTCCTGGGTATCTGTATCATTCACTCGCCCGAGGCGCTCCGGAAACGCACCGGTCAGGGCGAACCGCCCTATGCAACCGTGGATACCCAGCCCCTCGCCCCGAAATCCGAAAACCCAGCGTCAAAGGTTACGGTGTTTGCCAAACAACCGATTGGGTTCTTCAAGGGACGAAAGCCCCTGTGGTGGGTGTGGTGGCTTGTTCGCGCCGGCAGCCTCATGGCGGTGTTTATAGGATTTATACTGCTGCTCAGGAACTTTTATGAGTGGAGGAACACGTGTAGTTGGTGTAAGCACTTGTCTTGTTTGGTAAGTCTTTATTCTCCCCCCCCCTTCCCCCCCCTTTTTTTCTGAAAGGAAAGCGAACAAGGATATCATGACTAACTGTTTTAACAATAGGATGTCACGGTGAATGGTGTCAATTGGTGCGATATGGGCAATTTGAAGCTTAGTTCCAATCAGAGTAGCAAGAGGGGTCTTGGAGGTCTTATTTAGGTAAGGAGGAAGGAAGTAAGGAGGGGACTAGGTTCAAGACGGCCCATTGTCTCTCTCTTTTCTTTTTCTCTCTTGCTGGTTGCCTTTTGGTGCGGAAATGTTGCACTTTTTTCTCTTTATTGTGAGGAAATGAAAAGCAAGCATTGATACCACTCATGCATGGCATGATATTGTTTGTAGTACATGAGTAGGTGGGATTATTTGAATACCCCGGACCGTAATGAGTATGATTTTTTTTTGCATGTCGTTTTTCAGTGTAACGAATGGAAGATGAAGAAAAGAGATCAATGCCATTCTACCGGAGTACACCTGTCGGAGTATCCTTTTCCTTATGTTCATCTCCAGTTGCTCCGTTTTTTTTCTCCTTTTGCACACCCATACCCTACTCCTCACTCACTTCCAAGCTGCTAGTAGCTTATCCACCCTACCACTGCGAAGTCTGTGGGGGACCCCCAATCTGCACAGTTGGCCCAGCAGGATCTTTCCAATCCGGAGGTGTCGTTACCTTGTACTCGAGATAACTAGCAATAGGCGGGCTGTACATTTCCATGTGACCCGTCTCATTGTTCCTCACCAGCACATTCTTTGTGTTCAAGTGATCAGGCCGAGTCTTTTCTTCAACACTAAGGAAGCCGCCAGACAGTCGATCAAGAAAGATGTTGAAATCATCTGCCTTGTTGATTTGGCAGCGAGCGCCTTGAGATTCGCAGTGGGACATGAGCGCCGTGGCGCTGTTGAAGTACTTGAGACACTTGGGACATTTCATGCGAGTGTCGCGGTGTTCGCCGAGAATGTGCTTGTTAAGGTCACCGACACAGTCGAACGTTTGTCTATTTGTATTAGCAAAGAAAACCCCCGGGCATGTGTAGATAAGATGAACCTACTCGCAGATGAAAGGACAGTGGTACTTGCCTACAATGGCATCATAGAACTTCTCGGGGTTCCAGTCAGTGCTCATGGGATCCCAGAAACGTGTGTGCAAGATGTTAATGCCATGTTCCTGCTCCATAGCAGCGTCATGAGCCGAGATGGAGAAGTCCTTGGGAGGATTGAGCTTTGCATCGGGAAACAGCGTAGCAGCAGTGGACTTTTCCTTGCGGCTGACCCAGACCTTGAGCTTGGGGCTAGATGGACGTGGCACTCCTTTGGGGATGAGAGATAGGTTATCCATGGATGATTCGAGGGTCGTATCAGGTTCAATGGCTTTGAATTCGACTGCTTCAATCTCCTGGTCATCGTCCAAGGGATCATCAAGCACGATGCCACCTTCTTCTTCGTAATCAATGGCCGCGTCAAATTTGGACGTCTTCTGTCGAAAGCGGACCAGTGCCGGGCCGCATTTCAAGAGCTCACTGATCAACTGCTTGTGAATGATGTGACCCTGAAATTGTGATGCCGAGATCACCTCACAATGACCAAATTCGAGGTGCTCAATGAACAAGGAAGCACAGTAGAATGACCCGTGGCATCCAATGCAGGTAAGCTTCTGGTCAACTTTGTGGTTCAGCTCGATATGGCGCTTCAGACCAGAGATGCTCTTGAACTCGTCCCCGCACACACGGCATGCACGACCGTGCTCTACCGGGCGTGTAATCTTATGCATTGCATAGTCCTCGAAAGATTCAAAGTCCTCATCACACTTATGGCAGTACTCGTGCTCGTCGGAATGCTTCTTGTGGCTCCTCATCTGCTTCTCGGTATCGAAAGACATGTTGCAGTCTTTGTACGTGCACTTGAAGCGCCGAATTGGCTCGAGTGAGGCAGGCATGTTGGCTTCTGTTCTTGAGACGAGGGTGAGTCAGTAGAATTTCACAGCAATGGTAGTTTAGCTCACACAGTTGTTGGTTGCTTCTGCTGACGCGAGACACCTTATGTGATGTGCAAGGTAAGGTATCGAGTCAGGTGCACAAAGAAGGGCAAACAAGCTTACCTTGGCAGATTCCAGGATAGAAGGTGGAAGAATATGTTCGGAGCTAGAAGGTGATTGGAGCGTTGCTAACATGGAGGGAATAGGCGGTGACTGATCAAAGGTGAGATATACGAGAGGCAGGAACAGTGAAGTTTGGTAGATGCTGAGGAAAGTGCATTCTAGACCCACAACAAACTCCTCTCACCCGTGCAACATCAAGGGCGTAAGAAAATGATTTATAGGCTATAATGAGATCTGGTTATGTTCAGACTGCGTCCTTGAGTGTTCGTGCTATCATAAATGCAAAACATTGAATTGGATTGGTATCGTGAATGATTTAGAATCGCGAGTATGGTAACCTGAATCTTCATTAGCGATATATGAGTGGTCTTACTTTGCAGCAAACGTACCACTTGCCCCGCAGGGTAATCTTGGCCCACTCGCCTTTGTCATCAGTTTCCTTCTCTACCTTTGTGCTGAAAGAGATGGCGCTCATGATGCCATCGCCAAACTTCTCATGCATGACAGCTTTGTAAGCCTGACCATAGTTTTGTACAATCTCATAAAGACGGTAAATGGTAGGGTCCTTGGGAGGCATATCGAGGGTGCTGCCTCGGTTGGGAAACCCACCCAGCTGGGACGCAAGCTTTCCTGGGTCAATCTCAAGGACTTCAGAGAGTTTCTGGACATCTTCGGGGGAAGCCATGGCTTGGCCGTAGAAGAGAGCAGCGATTGCGACTTCGTCTCGTCCTACATGCTTTGCAATGGCTTCAAAAGTGAGGTTCTTTTTCTTCTTTGCTTCAAAGAGAGTTGGGGATGACGGAGGAAGGCGAGGGATAAGCTCCTCCTACATTTACATGAGCCTGGCCCGACAGGATTTCAGAATCTTGCAGCGAAACATACGTTTAGAGTAGCAACGGGGCGCTCTCCCATGGCGGTAGGCGTTGAGTGAAAGCATCTCCCAGCAGTAAGAGGGACCACAGGTCGGACGGAAGTGAATGCACGAGATGCCAATCTGGCGGAGACCGCAAGTCGAGGAGATAAGGCCATGATGTAGGAAGAAGCTACCGTGTATGCAGTAACAATAAAAGACCTTTGTGTGTTACAGGACAAAGAAACAAAGTCAGCCGTTCTCACAGCGGGATAGCAGATTTATGTAGTTGGAGGAGGGGATAGATGTACAAGGGTACGTCATCCATCGCAACGGCCATCATGATTACGCGAACCTGTGGGGTACATGACAATGCAAAGCTTATCTGTTTAACCCGCGGGTGCCCCTGTGCTATTGTTTTGCTTGACAGCCGGGTATACTTGTGAAGCGTTGACCAAAGTAGTATGTATGCCGTCCGTGGTAGTGAGGGGCCAAGGGTGAGGGGTGAGGGGCACGGCGACGGGTACAGGTACGGACAGGCGGTTGGATGTACGCCATCACTGTCCGCCCCCCCTGCACCCATTGCGATGCTGACCAGGAGAAATCAGGGTACGCGCAATTGATTGGGTGTCGACGCGGATTCCAGCTCGTCCGTTCGCCAGCTACGTCGTCGCTCACACCCATGCTGACCCTCCTGGCGCTAAGCCTGTGACGCGGGGCTGTCCGACCACCTCGACCTCAAGCTCCGTCAGCCCTTGTAGCTCCAACAACACAACCATTCCAATTTCTCTGTCGACACTCACTCTCCCAGTCTCTGTCCCAGTCCCACCACCATGTCTCGCCGAGACGATGACTTGGCGTACGGTGAGTACAATGCCCAAGAAGGGCAAGAGGGCGATCGCGGCCTCATAGGCGACATGGGTCGGCGTTTTGGCTTTGGCAAAAAAGAGGTGAGTACCTGCACACGCCTCCTTCAGACGCCATGCTGTCATTGCATGCTCTGTATCTAGTGCCAGCTTGTTGTATCCCTAGGACTGCCCCACCATGGCCGCCCAAGCGCCAGACTAGCCTCACCCGCTTTCCTTGTCGTCTGCTCACTGTGTCGCCTTATGAGAAGCTTGGTTCTCCAAACAAAACCCTGACTCAACATACACAGAATACCCAGCCTCAGTCTTCGTCCTCACAGCAAGGTGGCGGTGGCGGCGGCATGTCGTTCTTCAAGAAACTCCATGATCCTCTTCATGATTTCGTCTCCGATCTCAAAGATGCCATAAGTGGTGACGACAACAACAACCAGCAGAAACCCCCAGCGGGAACATACGAGCAGACAGGACAGCCTGGTGCTACCCAAGAATATCATCAGCAGCATCGCTTCTCCAGTTTCGCCCCAGAACGACATGGCAACGAGATCAAGTGGTATGTCGATGGGTGCTCGTACATGTACGCAGTATCCATAGCTCTTGAGCGCGCCAAAGAGTCCATCTGGATCCTCGATTGGTGGCTTTCCCCTGAGCTCTACCTTCGTCGTCCTCCTGCCAAGAACCAGCAGTATCGTGTCGACCGCATGCTGCTTGCGGCTGCTGAGCGCGGCGTCAAGGTCAACATTATTGTTTACAAGGAGGTTACCCAAGCCCTTACTCGTAAGTTACTGACTCCGTTGCTGCCCAACTATCTTCATTCTCTCCTACCAAGTTCGACGGACATGTTTACCAAAGCGCTCACGCGCATCGGCCTGGATGTCATATTCAAATCGCTTGAAGAGTGGGAAAAGACAGATCCGCTGATTGCCCCACCTATTACAGTCTCCTCATCCCATACAAAACACCACTTGGAAGACCTCCACCAAAACATTGGTGTTTTCCGACACCCCGATCACTTGCCAGACGCCGCAGTGCTACAGTCGAATTTCTTCGCTTCCATGAAGAACATGTCTTTCACTCCGGCAGCACTCGCTCAACTCCCAGGAGATGGCCTCAAGGCAATCTACGGTGCTCATGAAGGAACGGTCATGTATTGGGCACATCACGAAAAGCTCTGTTTGATCGATGGCCACATCGCTTTCATGGGAGGACTAGACTTGTGCTACGGCCGATGGGACACCAACCAGCACGCAATTGCTGATGCCCATCCTGGCAATATCGACAGGATCGTCTTCCCAGGCCAAGACTTTAATAACGCTCGTATGATGGGTAAGTTGGTATCTTAGGTCGCTGAGTTTGGTCAATGTTTTATAGCATTGCCGGCTAAGCTTCAGTCTGCCAGTAATGCTAACTCGTACACAGACTTCCAGGACGTCAGCAACTGGGAAAATAACAAGCTCGATAGGACCCAAAGCTCTCGTATGGGATGGTCTGATGTTGCCTTGTGTGTCTCCGGTCCAGTTGTTCAGGATCTGCGTACTCATTTTACGCAACGCTGGAATTTCATCTACGACGAAAAGTACAGCAAGAAAGCCACTAG